ACAGATCTCTTTTGCTGAGTGTGATTTATTTCCACAGTAGTTACATGAGTTGTAGAACTTTTTGTTTCTTTCTGTTGTGGTGAATCTCGCCGCGCTGCCAGCGTCACTGTGTTGCCGTGGTTTCCATGACGCTACATTGTTGTGAGACGGTCTGCTAACGGCATGTACTGACTGTTCATGACGGCCTGATATGGTTTTTAACTGTTCCTGCGCAACTTCATGGGAACGAGCAATGTCTATCGCCTTGTCCAGTGTTAAATCAGACCCCATGCTAAGCAGTTTTTCTCGTACTCTTGGTGAGAGGATCCCGAATACGACGCGGTCTCTAACCATTTCCTCACAGTTCGCGTATTGACAGTCCTTTACAAGCAGCCGTAAATCCGTTACAAACTGTTCAAATGGCTCGTGCGCTCCTTGTACTTTCTCGTTAAACTTGAAACGTGAAAAAATAACGTTTGTTTTGGGAAAAACATATGCTTCAAAGCGGTCATAGTATGCTTTCAATGTCTTTCTTTCGTCTTCGGACATTGTCCATGTGTTATAAATATCTCGACCTTTTTCTCCGACCCAAAGAAGAAGGTAGCTGCATTTCTCGTCTTCCCCTCTTTTCTTTAACGGTCCCGACAGCATCAATTCAACATGTAACTTGAACTTACGCCAAGCTTCGGGCAAGTTTCTTGCGTCCCAGTCCATGTGGGGTGAAGGCACTCCAGACATATCCATCTTCGTTCCTTTTACTCTGACACCATGTTATGTTTCTATGTTTAAAATAGATGTACCGTATGTACAAAAAGTAAGTACGACAGTCCGGGTTTCGTAGTGCTGTTTACTGGCAGTTGAGCAGAATGACAATGACCAAATGTAACGGCAGGTTGCGCTCTATCACAGGTCACGCAGCACGTAAGATACATGTGACGTAAGGATCAAACAGAACGTGATACAATGTTGAATGATGCAGTAATGTCTCACAGCATATTCTATCACAGAATATTACACTGGATAGGGTATTAGTAGCTTGGAGCTGAAGAACCCATGTGCTTGGGGGATTTTCGCGGTTCTGCAGACTAAACCAGACTAAATTCACGCGGGCTACCCAGAAATTTTCCCTATAGAACTCAATGTAAACTAAAACAGCGCAACCTCAGCTGACAGAGAACCTACAGGTTTCATAAAAATCAGATTTTGTGGGGATTTTAGTGTCCCTTGTCATCCTGAACTTTTTTTCTTCTTAAATCCTTCGGTTTTCTTTAAATCCACACTTTACTGCCACAAACTCTGCCCGTCTGGCTCCCACTCTAACTCCCGCTCTGATGAGCACCTCTGATTGGTCAAAGCGCGGCCGCGCCCCTCTGTGCGCGTGCATGACAAACATACACGCGAATTTGGAACAAAGCATCATGGGAGTTTATCCACTGCGCAGAACCGGGAGGACCAGACGATGCTCAAATACAGGCGAGTTTCCCATAGATATTTGCGGGTTCCAGGCGGAGTTCTGCTAATCTTTCAGCCCCCATGCCGGCACAAAGCGCCACCGAGCACAAACCATTCATTTGAATACGGCACCATCTTGGATCGCCGGGGCTTGGTAATACCACACCGGACCAATGGCGGGGGACCCGGAATAAGAATTATTCAATGCTAATGTATGGCATCTTCTAAGAATGGGCTTCTTTGGGCTTCTATGCCTAAGAGTCGTCCATTCATGCAAGGAATTGAACACAGCTTCAGAGTTCGTAGCGGTTAAGCTGTGTGCTAGATTGAATATCCTTAACTTCCGTTCCATCATCATGGGAAATAGTGTTATTCAAGGTTTTCTGAACGCTTAACAATAACAATATGAACATAATCAGAAGTTTCCACATAAAGAATCTTTGTTGTAATTTCCAACTGAAATTTGAACTTTTTATCTTGTAAAGTAGCATGTACATCGCCACAGTTTCAACCAATCAGAGCGCCGGATTTCTTGGCATCAGTGAGTTGGTGTGTTTGTCAACAAAGAAACAGGATGTTGTATGCATATGTTGGATAACTGTCATGAATCAGGTTAGATGGGATACGTTTGGAAAACTTGCTAAAGAGTGGTTGTAGAAGAGTAGATTCCCCTTCCTTTCTGTCTTTGAAACATCTGATTCTATGAAGTCTGTGCTTCCAACTAATAAAGTAATGTTTCTGGTATCATCTGTGATGTTACTGGGACTACCACAGTCTTTTGTAGTTTCCTGTCCGCACCAGCCGCTCACTGGACCCCCATGGACTCTCCTGGACCACACCTGGACCCTCCTGACATCCAGTATTCGCAGTCTTTGGTTTGTGTTGTGTGATTCCTGACTTGCATATTTTGTACTCTCAACCCTGTCATATCTGTATTACTGCTAAACATTATTATCTGAAGAACTGAACGCATTTGCTCTGACCACAATGTCACTACAATATCTAGTTATTTATATCATTGTGATGTCATCTCTGTTCTGATCACATTGATACAATACACATAAAAAGTTCTGTCTCCTTTTCTTCGAGCTGAAAGGGACTGCCCAATAAACCATGGTACAGGTGCAATCGCTGCTGCTTTGTCTTCATTTCTTGACAGATTTGTACATGTTTCTTCCTGTTTTCTATTAGAATAAACTTTATTCCTGACTGCAGTTTATTTTTTATATTGTTTCTCTTCCTCAGAGTTACCTGGCTCAGTCCTGGTCCAGTCCGGGTCCAGACCGTTAATATAATAGATCCATGGTCCAGACCTGGTCCGGTCCAGCCCTGGTCCGGTCCGCAGTGACCTCGTGGGTCATGTTGCTCTTGTACGGAGTTCATTTATTTTGGAATCAAATCTAAACAAACAGATTTGTACAGCAGTGGCCACAGGGGGCGCCGTGGAGTGTTCTGTGGACGTGTCCGGTCCGGTCCCAAGCTCTGTCCAACCTGGTGTTTGAGTTGTCTGCTCTGGTGTTTGGCACCAGAAACCCACATAAACTGGCAGAGTGTTCCATGTTGCTCTTTGGACATGTGCAGACATTTAAGGATAGGTGCAATGTTCGTATGAAACCTGATGAACACAACATTGAGGACGTGGCAAATCAAATTTACAAAGACCTGCGCCAAATTTATTCCAAAAAGGCACTGCGTTTGATAGCCTTTTCCGACCCACACATCATCACAGCGGGCATCCCCAAACAACTAGAGAGGATCCCTAAGAAGCGTACACTAGGCACTGTCCTGAGGTCCGTGTGTCGGGCCATCTTCAGGAGGTGTTAAGTCCAGGGAGTGTCTGACCACCATTGTGACCGTGTTCTTGGCTGCTCATTGTGCTTAGGCTATATCCACACGAAGACAAAACGCTTATAATTTCAGAAACTTTTTCTGTAAACACGGAGTTAGCTCAGTAAATGTGTGCGTCCATATGAATGTAGTCAATACGCCTGAAAACGCTGTGAAACTATGCCAGACCTGTTGGTGGCGCTGTGACGCAATGACGGGATCAAGCCCAAACTTCCGTGACGGGAACTGGCATGCGCAGAATTTTGTAAACAGACAACATGGCGAGTGGGCGAGCTGGTACTACATTAGTATGGACGGACGATGAGGTTGAACTGTTGCTTCGGGTCGCACTGGATTACAAAACCAACAAGCTACATTGTTGTTGTCATTATTTTCTGAGTGCGGCGCATGCGTGCTTTAACAAGAGGCGGGGCGATGACGCAAGCGTCTCAGATACATTGCGGAGAGGCAGTAACCACGGAGCGGCATATACGGAGTTTTGAAATCTTTCCACTCTGGGACCTACTTTCAAAAATGTTCGTTTACACCCCCCCAAAACGCCGGCCTCGTATGGACGATACACTGGATTGATAAAGTATTTTTGCGTTTAGGCCTGAGCTTGACTTCGTGTGGACAGGGCCTTAACGAGGCCGGCGTTTTGGGGGGGTGTAAACGAACATTTTTGAAAGTAGGTCCCAGAGTGGAAAGATTTCAAAACTCCGTATATGCCGCTCCGTGGTTACTGCCTCTCCGCAATGTATCTGAGACGCTTGCGTCATCGCCCCGCCTCTTGTTAAAGCACGCATGCGCCGCACTCAGAAAATAATGACAACAACAATGTAGCTTGTTGGTTTTGTAATCCAGTGTGACCCGAAGCAACAGTTCAACCTCATCGTCCGTCCATACTAATGTAGTACCAGCTCGCCCACTCGCCATGTTGTCTGTTTACAAAATTCTGCGCATGCCCAGTTCCCGTCACGGAAGTTTGGGCTTGATCCCGTCATTGCGTCACAGCGCCACCAACAGGTCTGGCATAGTTTCACAGCGTTTTCAGGCGTATTGACTACATTCATATGGACGCACACATTTACTGAGCTAACTCCGTGTTTACAGAAAAAGTTTCTGAAATTATAAGCGTTTTGTCTTCGTGTGGATATAGCCTAGAGTGAACCACTCTAAGCACCGACCAGGACCTGTAATTGTTATGGCCTATAAATAAATAAATGCAAATTCAAAATAAAAAATGTTTAAGTATATTATTATTATATTAAAAATGTTTATGTATATTTTGCAAATATACAAAAGGACACCAATAATTATGTAGTTGCTGTTTTTATCTGATGAGCTCTGAGTAAGCTTCGAATGTAAAATTATTTATTTTATGTTTTTCTGTTGAGAAAGTAAGCTTTGCCTGAAGCCCCTGCTGAAAGATCAAGGCTCCTGTGGACTCTCCACCTGCAAGAGGATCAGTGAGGGGTTGGTATTAAGTTTACTGGGTGCAGCTCTGACTGCCACCCCCGACCCAGAAATGGATCAAGGGGTAGAAAATAGATGGATGGATGGAAAGTACACTTATAACGTGCATTACTTCCACAATCATATTGTGTATGTGTGCTCCAAGCAGCAATTATATTTGGGAATAGATCTGCTCTTCTGTTCATTTGTTTAGAAAAATCTAATAAATTAAAATAAAAAGAGCTGTTAGAAATCTGTTATAAAGAGAGAAAAAACAGTGTTTCGTGATGGAGAGAGGTGGAGCAAAGGGAAGGAGTAGGAAGAGGGGAAGACAAAGACTCATAAAGGAAAAGCAGCGGACGACAACACAAACTTGTAAGTATGAATTATCACCGCTGCAACTATAACTATACTCTCTTTTCATAAAAACACAATAGCAAGAGCACTTTTGAAATGTAAAGGTGGATCTCTGGGTTATAGTGCCTTGACTACATGATATATTGATTTTCAAATTATGATGATAAAATTATAATTATGTCGCATTTTATTGAAGATGAAGCAATATCTTAAAGCTCTTAACATAAAAATGGCTCTTTATCTATCTATACATGCCAGACGAATAGTAAACCCATACAGATATAATACATTGTTGAGCCAAAATGGTTGTATTTCCTTATATTTTCAGTATTTCAACTTGTACTCACACACTTTTTTTTCTTCTCGCAAATCACTCTTTAAATCAAATTAGAGGAAGCATGCACTGACTCTCCTGGGGGAATGTTTAGGAATGTATTTTCATTATATTTCTCTTGCCGAGCTCTTCCCCACATTGTAGTAGATTCAGTACGCAAGAGAAGGTTTGAAGATTAGTTGTTTGAGCATAAATCTGCAGAAGAATGCTCAAAACACAAAAGAGGGTGGAGATTGTTTAAATGAGGCACAACAAAACAACACATTCTTTAGTGGGAACTCATGTCTTGGAGGCTGATGTTACAATGACATACTAAGGGTGGAATGATTGAAAGAAAAAAAAAATCTGTACCATTATAGGAATGCACAATACGGTCAAGTTGAAAGCAGGTTTTATGTATATATAAAACCTGCTTTCAACTATTGTAGTGTATACATTATTATATTTTGTCTTGCAACTGAACTGGAAAAGGCTTTTACTCATGAAATATCCAATAGGACACGTATTTAGGTCTGTTGTTTAAGGAGTACTTTTATTTCTTTACAATCACTGCGCAATCACTGCACCTTATTACTTGGTGCTTTTTGTTAGTGCTGTTACACAATATCTTTATGGAGAGAAAATCGAGGTGTAAATCCAATCTTTCTAGGCATTTATTTAAAGTTTTATAGGTGAATTTATTTTTTTATTGTCCTAGAATGACCAATGCCAGTACTGTTGGACACAATATATTAAAAGGATCAGGATATTTCAGAGCTAACTCCCCCTTTAGATCAAGTTCACACAGTTCTTTATTGGTTGGTAAAAAGCCCTGTACCTGCTGTAGAGTGTCTTCTGGGGGGTCCTAAAAAGTCCAAATCAGGCAGTCATAAACAATATTTGCCAATCAAAGCGAATCTTCACTTGAAAAAAAGGTCTATTCGCCACCAGCAACAAGCATGAAATCAATCCATTAGGCAAGACAATTTTCAGAACAACTTAAAATTACACATTCTTGGAACATCCAATGGAGCCTGATGGGAGTCATTATGATTGTTTGCTGAAAAACTGGGTTTCTGATGATAATTCAGTATTAAATGACACTGCATTGGCACCACATACTTGTAGTCTATTGCAAAGGGCTTTGTGTCTGTGGAAAGTACTATATAAATAAAGATTACTTACTTGCTTGGAAACTTAAAAAGTATTTATTTTACAGGTCATACTGTATCTGTCGAAGGGCAAGACATTAAACTGGTTTTAGAGCCGTAAAAACATCCATTCAATGCAATGGTGTAGGTTTGGTTCCAATCTTGGTGGGGACATTCACTACGACCTGAGTCTACACCCATTGACACGGGGTCCAGAGTTTCTCCCCCAGAATTTGTTGTGTAATCACACACTATATTTGCAATAGTGTGTTGCCTTCTACACTAAACTCAGCTGTAGACTGAATGAGAAGCAGTTAAGGATTTTTTCTAATAGTTAAAACAAAATCAATTGGATCAGAGCTTCTGAGTTTTGTGTTGCGTTCATTCTATACTGACTTAAACCTAATCCAAATCTACATAATAGCCCTCACCTGAGGCTCTAACAGTTCAGGAACTGCTCTCGATACTTGAAATAAATCATGCTCTGATCTTTCAATTTCCTATAATAAATAAAAACAGAGGAGAAAATATTGAATTAGAATCTACAGTGAGTATCTCACTACATTGTTTGACATATACGATCAATCTCTAAAAACAATTCATAGTCCCATGCATACCTACAAAATTCCAACCTCACCTGATGCACTGAAGGGCCTGTTGCTTCTACCTCAACATTCCCTATATTGTTCTCTCTTGTTGGTTGAGTTTCCTATGTATGTTAACAAAAGATTAATCATCACAATTCATAATTTGCTATTACTTGTGCTTTCTCTTACTTACTTTCCAACTGTTAAAAAAGCTCCTGATATCTTTTATCTTTTTTTGTGGAGGTGGCATTTTTTCTAAATTATATAAGAAGGTATAGAAAATCAAAAACAGACATTCATATACATGAACTGCAGAATAATTTATATAACTTGGCCAATGTCAAAAGTTACATAGTATTTCTCAATACAATGAGTTAACAAGAGTTTGGCAATAAGTAACAGTGTGGATTTTTCTATATTTTCTTTTTTTTTATTCCACTCTCAACCCAAAAAGGCAAGTAATGACTCACAGGGCTCTCAAGTATGCAAAATAAAAACTTAAATGACCTGTTGTGGTGTGTTTTGCGCACAACCAGCATGCATCGTTAACGCAATGGAAAATTTACGTATCCGAGCTTTAATTTCGGGAGCGCTGGTTGCGCTTTGGGAAGAGTCAGGGGAGAGACATGTCAGAGACACAGGGGAGAAACGGGGGAGATACGAGGGAGACCCGCACTTGCAACATGGTTCTGTCTGCATATGGTCCGAGCTCGGTACCATGTTAGAGCTGTGCTTTCACTGAGCGCCGCGGCTGTCATTACAAAGCACGTCCTGGTGCAGCTGCGGCAGCAGCTGCACATTCGAGTGCATCGCATGAATGTGCTTAGAGCAAATCACAGCAAGTGCCCGCTGTCACACATTTCACAGAAATTACATTATCAGCAGATAAAGGTTGTAAATCGTGGATCCGTGGAATATTTTTATCCCTAGTTTATCCTGATTCACACAACACACCCACTCATACATTTTGGATAGTAAGAGCACAATAAGTATTTTTTCAGCCTTTCACCTGTTTCTTTATTGGAGCCAGTTCTGTTCTGTCTCTGTGCCGTGTGAGCTCCTCGGAACATTAAACAGTGCGCTGACAGATTAGAAATAACATAAGTACTTTGAATGGTAATAGATCTACAGTACTTTCCTCTGATTACTCACGTGCTACAACGCTCAGGGAACGAAATAAAACACTTGCTTCACGCTGGCTAACTTTTAAAAATTAAACAGTTGCTCAGTGCTTCAGTTTGGCGCTGAAGAAGACAGCCAATCACTGCAGAGAACGGAACGGGTCACGTGCTGCTGCTGCTGCTGTTGCTCTGGAGGCGAGGAGGAGGCGCGACGTATGCACAAACGGAAGACATGTGTCCCGGACCGTCCGGGTCACAGGACATCATGTCATTTTGGTGGGGACTTTTTAGTCCTCACCAAATATTGGTGGGGACATGTCCCCATGGTCCCCACGCAAACCTACGCCCTTGATTCAATGCCATCTACTGAAATAAATATACAAAGGCCTGCAAAGAGATGGGCTGGATCAGAAAACTTTGTGTACCTTTAAAGGATTTTAAAGAAGACACACAATTTTAATGACATAACTTCCGACAGGTTTGAGCAAAATGTGGGGGATTTTTTACAAGTGGGGGCAATTACTGACAGAATAAACAGTGTATAAAAATGAGGAGAGGATATTGAACAGTTCCTCTCTGTGACTCTCTTCCTCTAGACCTCCTATGGCTCATAAACCTTTGCCCTCACGAGTCGCGGGAATGGCCGCCCTCCCAGTGGTCCTGCTCCTCTGCGCTTTCACGGTAACCCCATCCAAAACACCAATCCTCGGGTTTAATTAGGCCCGAGTCACAGTCCCAGTGCTTGTTTTTTAATGCCGTGAACTGCTTTTCCTTTTACATGTGGTCTGCGGTCGTCAGTGTTCACAGCTGGGGCCCAGACCGGTAATGTTCCCCCCTCCTCCCATTTCCTCATAAGTCATATTTAAAAACACTGCAAATACATGACTTTAAATGACTTCAGGACTCAACATTGTTTTGATAAAGAGAAATATTGGGTGTGTTAATAATTAGGAACTAAATACAACGTTTAAGGGAGATGTATTTGGTATTAGGAGGCATTTTGTGTTAAACCACACATAGATCACGGCTTTGGCACACATCTTGTTCATTTTATGCTGCAAAAGTCATTAATAATAAAAACTTGTTTATTTTTAAATTTGATTTAAGTAAGATAACATTTGAATATGTTTGATTCGGAGTCAGAATCACAAATTGACAAAAGGGCAGAGATTGTGGGTAGGTGATACTGAGCTTTTATGAGCACTGAAGCCTCTCTTTTGTGCAGAACAAACAAAATATGGTGAAAAATGCATGAAACTATAACACAAAGAAACACAATCAAACAACAACAATTGAACAACTCACATCACTTTGGAATATAAGATCTAAATATATGTTGTTTTGTTAAAAAAGTTTAAATTATCCAATAAATCTAGTTCCACTTCACGATTGTGTCCCACTTGTTGTTGATTCTTGACAAAAAAATGTTATTTTTTATATCTTTATGTTTGAAGCCTGAAATGTGGCGAAATGTTGAAAGGTTCAAGTTCAAGAACACTTTCGCAAGGCACTGTATATCTGAATAATTGTTTCATTTCAGAGAGCACAGAGGCGCCTGGGTCCTTACCTTCAGGTGAGTTGCGTTTAATCAGTACGCTCCAACACCTGTGGCAAAGGGAACAATAGACTGCTATTGTTGACATCAGGGATGCCCAAAGTGAGGCGCGTGGGTAAATACTGAAGTAAACACCACAATGATCAAACCATTTTACTTTTTAGCGTTTGCAGTAGTCTTATTTCATTTGTGGAGGCACATTGTTTAAGTGGGTATGTATTGCATTCTTCACAGCAGGAAGGTTGTGGGTTAGATCCTGTGTTGGCCCAGCCTTTCTATGCGGAGTATGCATGGTTCTGGGTGGGTCCAAAACATGCACCCATATAAATCTCTGACTGGGTCCTGTGGCGCTGCACTGTAGACACCACTGCTACGGACATGCCCTAGTACTATTGAAGGATGGGTCAAATGCTAAGGGCACATTTCCCCAGGAGGACAACACAGTATAACGTAACCCTGGTTTGTAGACTGCAGGGAGGAGATGTATCCCTGCACCAGGATGTACTCTGTTCATCGGCCGGCCAAGAAATGCATCGGAGGTTTCTGTCTCTACAGGTCACACATCTTCTAATCTACAGCACTTATGTATCGTCTCTGTCCCGAAATAATAATAGGAAAAACAAACCTTATAATTGAGAACCCAAAACACCATAAATAAAAATGAGTAATAGCAGTATCTTACCCCTTTAATGGTTTCCTTTTTACCATTTGATAAAGGCCTAAAATGAAATAAAAACCAGGGGCTCAAAATTATAATTATTTTTGTGTGTGCTCCTACATCTTGGAAAATCCAGAAATGAAAACAATACATTGCTTTCTTCAAGGAGTGAATATTAAAGGGTAGGGACTTTTTGGGCCAACGGCCGATGTTTTTTCTTTGTTATTTATAAATATATGTTTCTTGGCGGCTTCAGTTTTTCTTGCATCGGTGCATCCCTATTAAAGGGTTAATGTTGCCACACTCTGTCATTCAGTTATTTATTATCATATATATCACAAATGAAGTTGTAATACTTTTCCTGCCACAGCCTGTCGCGCATGTACGTGATCAACAATGAGATCTGCACCAGGACTGTGTGCGCACAAGACGAGCACATGAAAGGTGAGGCAGGTCTTGTTTGTTTGTTTATTTATTCATAGTTTCCAACAAAAAATAAAAATAAGTTAAGCATTGCTAACATGCATGAAAATAAAATAAAAAAATAAACCAAAATATTTGCCTGAAAGGGAGAAGGAAGAAGAAAACTTATTTAATCCTACCCCCATAATATGTATACAACAAAAATGTGCTTCTTTGCGAGACAGGGCTATCAACAACTTTCGACTTCTGCACTATATTAACACAGAAAAGTTTGAGTATTCACATTGTGGAGTTACCATAGTAACGCATCAGAGTTACATATGACAACAGTAATACAGGACTAACAATGGTAAGAGACAATACAAGCAATGGTAAGAGACAATACCAGCAATGGTTAGAGACAATACCAGCAATGGTAACAGACAATACCAGCAATGGTAAGAGACAATACAAGCAATCGTAAGGGACAATACCAGCAATGGTAAGCGACAATACCAGCAATGGTAAGAGACAAAACCAGCAATGGTAAGGAATGACAAATACATGACACAAACACAATACAGAAGTACAGAACAATTAAGACCCACTCTCTATATATTGTGACCAGACCAGATGTTTGTATAAAAGTTTGAATCTGTGAATATTTTGGCATTGCTTGTGGTGTGCATCCAGACTGTTCCATAGTTTCACACCTCGTACAGATACACAAAAGCTTTTACGAGTAGTTCGAATTTTAGGTAGTGTGAAGTCTCCAAATCCTCTCAGATTATGGGCTTTTTCCCGAATTGAGAAAAGGTGTTGTAGATTAATAGGTAATGATTTGTTAAAAGCTTTATATAGGATTATAGTTGTATTGTATTTTACAAGATCATTAAATTTTAGTAACTTAGACTGGATAAACAATTCATGAGTGTGATCTAGAAACCCAACTTTGTGAATTATACGCACTGCTCGTTTCTGCAACAAGACTAATGGGTTTATAGTGTTCTGGTACGTGTTTCCCCACACTTCAACACAATAGTTAAAGTATGGGAGAACCAACGTACAGTATAATGTACGGAGTAAATTGAGACCGAGGTATAGTTTTACTTTATTTAGAATTGAAAGGCTTTTGGAGATTTTAGTTTTTATGTATCTGACGTGAGGTTTCCAGGACAATTTATTGTCGATTATAATTCCCAAGAATTTATTTTCATTCACATTTTCAATTTCGATACCGTCGATAAAGATTTTTGTGTCTGAATTAAATCTTAGGTCTTAGGTCTTCAAGGCTAACATTCACATATTACACTATTTTTGCACATTTTATTGCTCTATAATGCCACAATTATCAATAATCAGGATGGAATAGTCTGAGATAACTTATTTTTCACAAAATTCAAGTAAAAATATTGAAATAATTCCCTTACTTAAAGGCCAAATATGTTTTTATGCCCAGCCATTTGCAACATAATTTAGAAAGTACAGGTATCTGGGTTAAACAATGGGAGTAAATGAAAAATACGTAGTAGGGCTGGGCGGTATAAACGGTATAAGCGGTATAAATTTGGCCCACGGTAGAGATTTTTGTTATACAGGTGTTACGTCGAGCCGCGTTTCCCCGTCAGATACTGTTTCCCCGTCAGATACTGTTTCCCCTGCGTCTACTCGCCGCTCCGCACCTCGCACGCGGCAAATAGTGCGCGTGCTTGTTCAGCACTCGTAACCAGCGTCTACTCGCCGCTCCGCCCCGCTCCGCGCCGCTCCACCCCGCTCCGCACCTCGCACGCGGCAAATAGTGCGCGTGCTTGTTCAGCACTCGTAACCAGCGAGCCGTGCTTGCGCGGCGAGGCAACTACAGACCATGGATGTATTATATTAACTGGATAGGGTATTACTAGCTTGTAGCTGAATAACTCACGTGCTCAGGGGATTCTCGCGGTACTGCAGACTGAACCAGACTAAATTCACGTGGGCTACCCAGAAATTTTCCCCATAGAACTCAATGCATATTAGAACAGCTCAACCTCAGCTGACAGAGAACCTACAGCTTTAATAAAGATCGGATTTTGTGGGGATTTTAGTGTCCCTTGTCATCCTGAACTTTTTTTCTTCTTAAATCCTTCGGTTTTGTTTAAATCCACACTTTAGTGCCACAAACTCTGCTCCTCTGGCTCTCGCTCTAACTCCCGCTCTGATGAACTGCTCTGATTGGTCAGAGCGCGGCCGAGCCCCTCTGTGCACGTGCGTGAGACCCGGTGTGAGACCCACACACGCGTGTTTGGCGCAACGCATTATGGGAGATCATCCACTGCGCAGAACCGGGAGGACCAGACGATGCCCAAATACAGGCGAGTTTCCCATAGATATTTGCGAGTTTCAGGCAACTTCCGCTAATCTTTCAGCCCCCATGCTGTCACAAAGCGCCACTGAGCACAACCATTCATTTGAATAGGGCGCCATCTTGGATCGCCGGGGCTTGCTACAGACACAGTGAAAGCACCTGAGTGAAGTTGGCCCCTACCCCACGCAAAACTCAGTGAAAAATAGCCACACTCGTTAGTGCTGGTTTGTGCAGAAAAAATATCGTTTGTGCTGTTTTGGTTTTTCAGGTATGACAACGTTATATTAATATAGCCTATATATATATATATAATATGATATGACAAACAAATAAATAAGTATGTATGTATGTATGTATGTATGGCCATCAGGATGCGGTTCCCCTGTTTAAAACTGAGGGAACGGTATTTGATGGGGGTTATTTGGCCATCAGGATGTGTTTCCCCCGTTTAACACAGGGGGAACGGTATCTGACGGGGGTTATTTGGCCATCAGATACCGTTTCCCCCGTTTAAAACTGAGGGAACGGTATCTGACGGGGGTTATTTGGCCATCAGGATGCGTTTCCCCCGTTTAACACAGGGGGAACGGTATCTGACGGGGGTAATTTGGCCATAAGGACGCGTTTCCCCTGTTTAACACTGAGGGAATACATGTATATATACACATGATAGATAAATGTATTTATATATATATATATATTTGTGAATATATATATACACATATATATATATATATATATAGGCTATATATATATATATATATATACAATACAATACAATACAATACAATTTATTCTTGTATAGCCCTAGGTCACAACAGAAGTCATCTCAGAGGACTTAACAAAACCATTGAAATCACCAACACAGGTCAGAGAATCAACAGTTAAAACACATGAAGAATATAAAGCACACACAGAAGAAAATGTCCATACATGTTGTAGAATGCTAAAGTGTCCTGATCATCACCAATCCTTTCTGACCCTCCTGCATCGACAAGGAAAAACTCTTAAAGGAATAGTTCACCGTTTGTACATACTGACATATGTTCTTACCTTACCTTAGACTAGTTAATACATACCTGTCTGGTCTTAGTCCGTGCGCTCTGTCATGCAAACGGAGCAAAAACTGGAGCACAACCGCAGCCTCCTCTGTATATTTTGTAGCACCAAAAGGTAGCTCCCGCTAGAAGCTACCGAACTCTTCCAAGTGTTCCCTATTAAATGTATATAGTTACGTGACGTGTTACACTGCAAAGTATAGTAACACAGAAATGTAACAGTCGATTTTCTCAGCGGATAAAACGGGTACTATATTGTGAGGCGTAGTAATCTGAGGTGCGCTACGTCCGCGCACTAACTTCTCTCCGGAGACTTCTCTCTCGCTCACTTCCGTCAATAGAAGCAGCGTGACTTGTAATACACACAGTAGCAGCGAGAGAGAAGTCTCTGGAGAGAAGTTAGTGCGCGGACGTAGCGCTCCTAACTTCTCTGCGCACTAACTTCTCTCCGGAGACTTCTCTCTCGCTGCTACTGTGTGTATTACAAGTCACGCTGCTTCTATTGACGGAAGTGAGCGAGAGAGAAGTCTCCGGAGAGAAGTTAGTGCGCGGACGTAGCGCACCTCAGATTACTACGCTTCACAATATAGTACCCGTTTTATCCGCTGAGAAAATCGACTGTTACATTTCTGTGTTACTATACTTTGCAGTGTAACACGTCACGTAACTATATACATTTAATAGGGAACACTTGGAAGAGTTTGGTAGCTTCTAGCGGGAGCTACCTTTTGGTGCTACAAAATATACAGAGGAGGCTGCGGTTGTGCTCCAGTTTTTGCTCCGTTTGCATGACAGAGCGCACGGACTAAGACCAGACAGGTATGTATTAACTAGTCTAAGGTAAGGTAAGAACATATGTCAGTATGTACAAACGGTGAACTATTCCTTTAAAAAAAAAAAAAAAAAAAAAAAAAAATATATATATATATATATATATAAATATATATACATACATATTTATTTATTTATTTGTCATATCATATTATATATATATATAGGCTATATTAATATAAAGTTGTCATACCTGAAAAACCAAAACAGCACAAACGATATTTTTTCTGCACAAACCAGCACTAACGAGTGTTTTTCACTGAGTTTCGCGTGGGGTAGGGGCCAACTTCACTCAGGTGCTTTCACTGTGTCTGTAGTTGCCTCGCCGCGCAAGCACGGCTCGCTGGTTACGAGTGCTGAACAAGCACGCGCACTATTTGCCGCGTGCGAGGTGCGGAGCGGGGTGGAGCGGCGCGGAGCGGGGCGGAGCGGCGAGTAGACGCTGGTTACGAGTGCTGAACAAGCACGCGCACTATTTGCCGCGTGCGAGGTGCGGAGCGGCGAGTAGACGCAGGGGAAACAGTATCTGACGGGGAAACAGTATCTGACGGGGAAACGCGGCTCGACGTAACACCGGCATATTGCGATAGGTCATTATGTCATCAAATTGCGCAGGCTCTGACGCCAGCAGAAAGCACCAAAACAAACCGGCATTCAGCAGCATTAGCCTAGCAGCTTTAGCCTAGCAGACACCACTGGAAACAACAGCACGGCTTTCACACCGTTTTTCTGTCTCTGTATTGGTCACAGCGGCCCCAGCGGAGGTAAATACACACACAGCAATCACAGTTTACATGTCTACCTTTCGGCCAATGAGTGTCAAAGGGGCGTAGGCTCGAAGCGCCATCGTGAGCCGAAATAGATCCATGCTTGTGCCGTGTCCGCATCATCTCAGAAGTTTTGTAAAGTTAGCGTCCGATTCAGACTTCCGCGGTCCATAGATCACGAAAGCTACTTTGTTAAACAAAATTAATTGTGCCAAAATGAGCATTTACATCAATTGTTCAAATCAAATGCGCTGTTTTAATGCAGATAAATCCATTGAATCATCCAGTTCACAGCAAGCGCTTAGGGAGCGTCAACAAATGGCAAGACTAGCTTTGTAAACGAACAATAGCTTTTACTGAAGCCATGCATACGCACTAAACTCTGACACTATAAATAATGACCATGTCTAACTGCTACAGATATTATATAATATATTTTATATTTTTATATTATTTAAAATTGCTTTCACAGTTAATGGTCTTTACTGTAACATACATAAATAATGTATGTTACAGCATTTGTCTCTCACCTGATTTTCAAACTCAAAAAATATATATCAGATTCTAATGTATAGATAAGTAACAATCTTGACTATTTTATGCAAGAACCTGCTAAACCTATATTGAAATTCACATACCAAATTATACCGTGATGTATACCGTCTACCGTCTGTGACCCAAATCATACCGCGATATGAATTTTAGGCCATATCGCCCACCCCTAATACGTAGTAAAGTACTGATACCAGGAACAAGAACACCTGTGACATCGGTATTATTAGACATTGGAAATATCAATCAAAGTTACTGTCACTGTAAAGATACTGTTGTTTTTCCCGCAGCGGAACTGTGCCGAGAGCGCTCCGGGTGGCCGAGACGCATCCAGCGCTCAGCTAATCAGAAGAGGCGTTGTCGCAGTCGTCGTGGCAACCTCTGAGGCGCCCCCGGAGCTGAGCCGTAAAACTCCACGAGTACGAGTCTATAAATCTTAGCTCAACACCCAGGGCACTTTTGAATTTGATCCGTATTTATCGATTTCACCTAATTGTCTGTGAACATTGGGGTGAGCTGGTTTCAAATGTATGCGGCTGACACAGAATCACGATTTATGATATATTTTGCATTACTATAGCAACAGCACACCTTCTCTCATCACCATTTTACACATGATTTATAAAAAATACATTACGGTATGGATTGAGAATATGCGTACATTAAATGCGTAACTAATCTTCAATGAGTTTTGTTTAGCTTTTTCTGGCGTTTTGTATCTATTCACAAGGGTGACTTTTACCGTGTGGAAGACATGAAAAGGCAAAAAACCACTTCAATTCTTAGTTTTACTTCATATATTCAGTTCCATTTACAATATAATTTACAGACAGTAATAATCCAAACATCAGGACAAGAATCCAACACTGACATAACTTCCTTAGCAGCAGTAATGTCTGTAACAACATTTCCGAACTACAATCATCCTGAACACTAAATCACAAATAAGTATTACGTCGCACTCACACGTCACATATCACTTTTTTTTACATTAAGATTTTACAGTTTGTACAAAGCAAGTTACAGTTGGAGCCCGAGCTGATTATAACTGATGAAATGTTAAAGGGAATGTCTGTAACTTTATGTATTTCATGTTCTAATGAATGCAGATTTTTGACCACTCGACCATGTACTATCGTATAATCAGTCATAATAAATGTATCCTCCCGAGCAAGAGTGATTGCAAATGCTCCGCGCTTCTCGACTGTGCTGCTTTTGCCGCTGTGATTGGTTGATTGGTTTGTCACTCACTCAAACCTTGACAGAGGCGGGATTAACGCTTTTAAGAGAAAACATAACAATTTTACGACTTTTTCCCCCAAATAGAACATAATTTACATCATGTCTAATGTGTCTTTTCTGTATCTGGTACAAGTGAACTTTGTGTTCAATAGGGGTGGTCAAAATATTATTTTCTTTGACAGAGGCTGCATCCGAATTCATACGACACACCTCCTTCCTTCTCCTTTTTATTCACCTTGACAACATTAACTTTGACCTAAGTGGCTTTAAATAATTCTTTAAAAGGCCTTGCCCTTCACTTGACCAAATCAAACATGACTTTGAATTGTTTTATGAAGGAAAAACAAGGAGGGAGACATTTATTTACTCTGAATTTGCATGTAGCAGAGAGTTTAAAAGACTGCCAAAAGGTCAAACATCCTTGTGAGTTTTTTTGTATATGTTCACAAAGAATTGGAAGACATGCCACGCTGTATCAAAGACCTCGTATGGCTGCAAATTTCAAATGGCAGAAATCCTGTCTTGTAGTCTGCGTGAGCACTTTGAGCTTGTGTTTTGCTCCATTTTTTCACGTTAATAAACTAAAACAGCGAGAAGGTCTAGCTCAGAGGGACAGAGGAGCTCTTTGAGGAGTAGGTAGCTGTGGCCTTAATGACTCATGGAGCAGCAATGTCCAGGCGGTTGGGCTCAGATCACACGTTTTGACACATATTCAGAATAAAAATTTAAGTAGTCCACACTTTAGGTCTGTGGACACTACATCCAGCTGTGAGGAGGTCTAGAGCTTACTTAATTTAAGCATATTCTATTCTATTCTATGCAAATACAGTGTATAGTGTTGTTATCAAATCGTTGACAGATATTTGCTTGTATCATAAACTATTACAGTATTTCTAAAAGGAGACCTACAAGTTCCCATACATGGCCACTAGAGGATAGTAGGGAGCAACACTGAAACATTATTGTTATCAAGCCAGTGCATAGTCAAGTCCCTGATTTCCAAATACAGGAATATCTACATAGTGTATTAATGCAGTCTGTGTAATTGATCTGTACATAAATCACCTGTTTAACACACACGTTGTAAAATACAGAAAGTTTAGGTTGTCTTGTCAACATTAGAAACGAGTTCGGGATTGATAATGGTAATCACTAGGTTTTCATGTTGTCGCCTGCAATTTTCCACAGTTTTAGCATTTTCATCCATTTCATTGGAGAAATGCAAGATAGATTAATTAAATCCAATCTGTGAAATATTAGAGGCGATGAAAGAACGTTCTGACAGAAAACACAACATACTAGTCCTTTAAAGAAACTACTTTGAGTTAAAACATCACTTTTTGAAGACAAAACAGGGGCTTTCTGAGCAGGGTACTAACAACACACGGTAATGCAAGTATGTAGTATCTTGTGTGTCCCCCTGCGCGGCAGAGAAACCTAGGACGCCGGAATTGGGGAAAGAATGTTGCATAAGGTAATTCCTACAAAGTAAAGGGAAAAAACAAACGGGAACACTTCCTCACTTGGGAGGCGCGGAGTCGAAATCTCCCCACAAATCTGAGGCCGCTGTGGAGCTGGTGTTCGACGCAGTGAATGAATTAGAACTGTTGGAATCTAGATCCAGTAAAAAGCCTGTTGGACAAAACAAGAAAAGTTAATAGCCTTTTATATTCAGACAGTTAAGCACAAAACACAGTGGAAGATAATGTGACTGCTTTTGGATCTCACGAGCAATTTTCAAGCAGTGAGAATTTAAAGCAAAAACGTATTACAACAAAAAACAGCCAATGAAACAGAAAGCAGATAGACTGAAAGGTACACAACATCAAGCAGCTGAACTAAACAAGCCATATTTCTATATCCAAGAGTCTGTTTCTCTTCAAATCAGTGTTCCGTGTACATCTACAACACTGCTATTATTCCTGTCCTTCCTGAGTATATCCACAGTATAATAAAAATCTAAACAGTAACCTTGCTTTTAATATTACTATCATTTTTTGCATGCATATTTCTATGTTCAATTGAAAATTATGATTTATTTATTTTGGTGCTTTTTTATTTACTTATATATATATATAATTGTCTTTGAGGTATCTGGTTTTGGTTAAGTAGTACGAAATTAAAAAGAAGAAGAAGACTTGCTGTGCTCGTCCGCGCATGTGCAGAAGTCTTGTTGGCCGCAGAGCTAATGTTCCTCTAAACGAGCTCAAACTCCTCAGGTGAGAAATAAAATGAAGTCCTTTGTGTCCGAGCAGACTGTGACCGCCGCAGCGCAGCAGGCAACACCGACAACCACCACATTTCTGCGCAAAATTGTAACTCAACGGTTTGTCCTGTTAGCATTAGCTTTAGCCAAATAAGCTAACACAACAAACACTGTAACATCATAAACCAACGATGTGCGGATGAACTGGTGCATAACAATGAGTGCAATACAAAACGTTCATTAGAATGTTGTGCCGACGTAGTAATGATTTGAATATGAAATGTTCAAGGATAGTAGGAAACTACTTCCTACTGCTTCAGAGATGGATATGGCATCAGTACATAATGAAAAGAAAAAATATGATTTTTATTTTTTTATTCAGAAAGAAATGTCTGCAGACCCGAAGATCGTGGAGCTGCTCTCTGAGCTCCACCAGCTCATCAAACAGACACAGGTTAGTCCTGCTTTAGACCTGCTTTAGTCCTGCTCTAGACCTGCTTTAAACTTGCTTAAGACCTGCTTTGGTCCTGCTTTAGGCCTGACTAAGACCTGTTTTTAGTCCCGCTTTAGTCCTGCTTTAGTCCTGCTTTAGTCCAACATTATTCCTGTTTTAGACCTGATTTAGTCCTGCCCTAGACCTGCTTTAGTCCTGCTTTTTCATCTCAGCTCTAATCTCTTGTGTTTTCAGGAGGAACGTTCTCGCAGCGAACACAACCTGCTGAACATCCAGAAAACACATGAGCGAATGCAGACTGAAAACAAGAGTGAGCTCCTATTGGCAGTATGAACCACATTCTGCTCTGTGCTTTACACGCATAGCTCTGTTTATGTAGAGACTGTTATGCTAAATCCTCCTCAGTCACAGACCTGCAGTAGTGTTTAACCCTTGGTCAAAATTACACGCCACAGATGATTCAAAGTAGAAGGAAAAATACCCTAAATAGTTTCTCTGGTCTCTCGCTCTTGTCTCTCTCGCTGGTCTCTCTCTTAGGTCTCTCTCTCTGGTCTCTCTCTCTGGTCTCTCTCTCTGGTCTCTTTGTTCATACATATGTCTCTTGTTGCAGCGTCTCCATATTACCGGACTAAACTGCGAGGTTTGTACACGACGGCGAAGGCGGACGCAGAGGCTGAGTGCAGGTGTGTGCAGGACTGGACCGGAAGGACTGGACCCGAGGACGTGATATTTTCTTGATAAATCCTGATATGTCCATATAAGGACTGACCAATCACAAGCTATCTGCCCCTGAATCCAAGTGGTCTCACTCCTGATTGACTCTTCAGGTTTTTGCCATCCACAAATTTGGCTCCAGATTCCCTCCTATGGAGCCTGTTTTGAGGTCTGTTCTGATCCTCCAAAATCCACTGATGGCTAACTTGCAGACACAGAAGCACAGTGTAACTGCTCTAAATGACCAAAGTCTTTGCTTTCAGTATTTTACGACACGCATTGGACAAAATCGCGGAAGTCAAATCGTTAATGGAGGAAAGACGAATCGGTAAGACCAGTTTAGTCTTGCTTTAGACCTGCTTTAGTTTTGGTTTAGTCTCAGACCTGTCTCAGTCCTGGTTTAGTCAAAGCCCCGGCGATCCAAGATGTCACCCTATTTAAATCAATGGTTTGTGGTCAGCGCTGCATGTGCCACCATGGGGACCGAAAGATTAGCGGAACTCGCACATAGGGCATTGTCTGGTCCTCCCGGTTCTGTACAGTGAACGAGCTCCAATGATTCGTTTCGCCAAATAAGTATGGGTGGCTCTCATGCACGTGCACAGAGGGTCTTTGCCGCACTTTGACCAATCAGTGCTGTTGATTATAGTGGAGCTAGAGCGGGAGTCAGAGCGGGAGCCTAATGAGCAGAGTTTGTGGCAGTAAATTGTGGATTTAAGGGAAAAAAAGCTCAGGATGACAAGGGACACTAAAATCCCCACAAAATAATGGTGCTTTCAGACCGGATCATGCGTTGCGTCGGCTTTCAATGCAAAGTCTATGGTGACAAACGTTCGAGCGTCACAACGCACGGACCTCTCAGCACGCACGGACAGACTGTTCAGTAGAGACGCACGGACTTGGCGGGAAAGTCAAAGGGGAGGAGCAGGAGCAAAAAATTGACGCCCACAGGAGATGGATTCTGCTCATCCTTTCCTTGGAACGTTCGTGCGACAACCAATCAGAGAGCAGCAAAGTGGTCACGAGGACATTAGCGGACTGAGCGAGCAGACTGAAAATACTCGTAAACTGCCAAAATAGGACCCACACCAGGCTTCACCAGAACTCAAACCAGGGTTGACAATGGGGGACTCTGTGGTTGTGAAAATATGGGTTTTCATGCTCCCGTGACCTTATGCAACTGCTTCGAGTGTGTTCACCGATGCGGAACTATAGTTTAATAATATGAAAAAACGTATGGCGCACCTCCGTGAACTCATATTACTGTTATATAAAGGCCGTGGAAGGTCTCTGTTCAAAGACACGCTGCAAAGCTGCATATTGGAGAAGATCTGTACACAAGAAGCCGCTAGCTAAACTCTGTTAGCATCATAGCCTGCCGGCTACTTCCGGCACTTCCGGTACGCGTCAGGACATCTTGGTGTGAAGACCCCTGCGTCTGAAAACTAGAGAATGCGCGTCTGGTGAGCGGGGCTTCAGCGTTTCAGCGTTGGCGGTCTGAAAGCACCATAAGATAGTGAAAGCTGTAGGTTCTCTGTTAGCTAAGGTCGAGCTGTCTTAGTTAACATTGAGTTCTATGGGTAAAATGTTGTTTCGTTTTGTCTGCAGTACCGTGATAATCCCCCAAGCACTTGGGTCCCTCAGCTCCAAGCTAGTGTTACCCTGTCCAGATATTATAATAGATCCATGGTTTACTCTCAGACATGTCTCCACAGCTGCTAAAATGGCCGGTGTGTACAGTGACTCTGATCCTCCGAGGAAAACAATGCGTCGGGGCGTCCTCATGACTCTGCTGCAGCAATCGGCCATGACACTTCCTCTGTGGATCGGGAAACCAGGAGAGAGGTACCATCAACACTGACACCATGAGCTGTTAGACCTTAGGAAACCCTCCCTCTCTGACCTCTGACCTCTCTCCTCAGCCCCCCCCCTCTCTGTGGGGCAACCCCCGCATCCTCAGACTACGTTGCTAAACAGGGAGATAAAGTCGCAGCTCGAGTCAAAGTTGTGGATGGAGACGAACAGTGGATCCTGGCGGAGGTCGTGAGCTACAGCCACTCGGCAAACAAGTACTTATATATATATATTTACACTTATGTATACTTATATACTTATGTATACAGCCACTCTGGAAATAAGTACGTATTATACAGCCACTTTGCAAACAAGTACTTATGTATACTAAAATACACTGTCATAGAAACTGATCAAAGGAGGTAAACTCAACGCAATTGTAAAGTACTTTGTGATTTTGGTCTCTGAAAAGCACTAAATAAATAAAGATTACTTGCTTAGCATGTCACTGACCGTATCTATTGTATGGGAGTTTAGGATGTTGTCATAGATGGGAGGCAAAACAAATCGCAATATGTAGATTTTCATGTAAAGTTATCATTAAATGGCCCTGATCTGTCAAAAGGCATTAACTCATTGACTGTCATGAACGTAATAATACGTCAAATGAAAATAGATTGTTTTTTTATTCTTTTCTTTTCCGTCTGTGTCCCCTTATATATTTATGGGGTTTGGCTGTAGACAGCGTTTTATTGAACCAGCAGGTGGCAGCAGAGTTCTGTGGTTGTCTTGGTCAAAGATCACTGTCTGCCCCAGTGTGCAGGAGAGACAGAGGAAAAGCAGGAATGGAGTAATATAGTCGGGGACAGGCTACATTTGGAGGCAGGTTGAGCAGTAAATGTGTCTCTAGAGCTGATAGGGACCATGCGGAGGGTCAGAGCAGCAGACCAGCGGTGGACCCCAAAAAAGCCACAAAAAAGTGGACTATCGCTAAAACTTTTACTGAACCTGCAGGCCCGCAGACAAATGCGACAAAAATTTGCGATAGGTCATTATGTCATGAAAGTGCTCCGAGGGACAGAAAATAAATTTCCCTAAGAACAATGTAAACATTAACTGATTCAGAGTAGGGATGTAAAAAACTATGAATTTTCATGACCGACCACCGAGCCTCATTAACCGGTTGAAACCGGTTAACCGCGTAGTTTAAAATAGTCCACGTTCTTTGAAATAACAGCCATTTCGAGCCGCGTACTTTTCATAAGTGCAGCTGAGCGTTCTACTGGATCAGAGCCGAGACAGCGGCGCCAAAACCAGCAACAGCTCCGGCACCTTTGCGCACAGAGAACTGCTGTTTTAATCTTCCCATTCTTCTGTGCTGCGGCTTAAAGCATTTTTAAGCAAAAGACAGCTCGTCCACATGGTCAGGGCAGTGAGTGACGAGCCGCGTCTCGCAGGTCTCCGCTAAAGTTTAAAAGTGATCAGTGTGGAGCTGATGCCAAGGACCAGCAGCACAAACATGGTCCATGTGGTTTGACTGGAGCCGTGTATTTGCAAGAATGCTTTGGGCTCCGTGACACAGAGGAGCGCGACAGACCGGTATGTGTGTGTGTACAATACATGTATGTATGTGTGTATATGTCTGTGTGTGTGTATATGTATGTGTGTGTGTGCAATACATGTATGTATGTGTGTATATGTATGTGTGTGTGTGCAATACATGTATGTATGTGTGTGTAAATATAAGCTCCAATGTAGTTCTGACCCGCACCAGTGTGCAACTAGCAGGCGGTAACAGAGGGGAGAGATGATGCGTGTGGATGTTACGTGTCAATGGGGGGGGGGGAATGTGTGTGTGTGTGTGTGTGCGTGTACATGTGTGCGTGCATATGTGACGCGTACGGCGTGAGAGTCGGCCCAGAGTTTACTGTTACATTGGCGCACACAGCTAGATAGGGACCCGCTCGTCACATCGTGCAAATAGGGCTTAAAATAGCGTTATGAAGAGACCTCCCCTCTCCCCCTTTTCACTTTTTTAACCGACAGCTTTGACCGGTTAACGCTGTGACGGTCAACCACCGGTTAAACGGTCACCGATTTACATCCCTAATTCAGAGTTAAAATGCTCTTTTTCTGTGGCGTGTACAGTTGTGGCAACTGCTCATATCAAGTTGAGAACTTATGGAGTCTCTACTTTGCTAAAAAATATTTCTCTAACGGGCATCAATTTTTAGGAAAATGCCTAATAAGGAACGGGGGAAATGCGCTAGCATTTCCATTAGACTGCGTAGCATCTGCAGCCGCAGACACAGCTGACAGTCCGCGGTCTTTACTTTGCTTACTTTCATAGATACAATGCAGTATTTTTGTGTGGTATACGGTTCGCTTACTGCTGTTAGCTTACTGCTGTTAGCTTAACGCTACGGAGCTGCCCCTGGAGCTCCTTACTTTTTGTCCGAACTTTTTGTTATTTACAGCTCAACAAATCACCGAAATGACAATAAAGGGTCATATTTCTCGCTTCAAATGTTGTCTAAAGTAACATTTGTGCCCTATTTATTGTAGTATTGATCAGAACTATCATCTTAGACGTGTTTCTGTTGATACCAGAGTGACTCCACTGTCGTCACTGTAACAGCCTTAATCCTTCTCATTGTTGAAAAAATTGGACTCATTCAAACATCACAAAGTGTACGCTGCATTAAAAATAGTTTTCACTCAAAAGAGTGTACACTAAGCCGCGGAAATCTTCTATGTCTGCGTTTTCCAGCATTGCCCATTCTATTTAATAGGAGAAAAATACTTCCTGTCCTACGGACACATGGTTGCTGGGTTGCAACCCAGCAATACTGCTTGGAAGTTAAAGTTTTATAATGCTCTCTATAATTGCAGTTTTGCACAATACATTTAAATAAGTAACAATCTTGACTGTTTCACGCAAGAACCTGCTAGACCTATGAAATTCACACACCAAATTATACCGCAATATATACAGTCTACCGTCTGTGTCCCAAATTATACCGCAATATGAATTTTAGGCCATATCGCCCACCCCTAGCGGCAAAGTCCAGTTATGGTCACAGCGCTCGCTGGACTAAACAGAATGACACTCTGAAGATGTAACCACACAAACGCGTGCATAAACACACATACAAAATTACTTTTACAGCCACTAAATGTTGTCATTGTTTTCATTTCGATGTCCCTCCCTCCATTGTTTTACCAATCAACCCGTGATCCGGGCCAGAACTCAAAGCGTCAGTCTAATCTTACTGATAAACTTACCAGTAAGGCCGCAGCACTAAAAAAGCTCTCTTTATAATCCTGAAATTGTTATTCTTTTGTGTTCTCCACATGGTGGTGGGTGTTGTCGACTAAAGGTGCCAAAAGGGTTTTGAGGGTTTTTACCCAAAATTTAAGTGATTGAGTCTATTTTACAGATAATGGATTGAAGTGGAATGTTTTGTTTTGTAGGTATTTTTGGGAGCCTCATTAACTCTGTGGAACCTTTCATTTCATCACTTGTGAGGAAGCTAAGGAGAATGAAGTCTCCTTTCTAGACTATAAGGTCATCATAAAGGAGAACAGACAAAAACATGTCTTCAGAAAAGTCCATTCACACTGACCAGTACTTAGTTCTCGATTCAAATCATCCGCTACAACATAAACTCGGGGACATTAGAACGCTCCAACACCGAGCCCGTCAGGTCCCCACAAGCTCGGAGGGAAAGGACAGAGAAACCAAACATGTTCAGAGAGTACTAATATTTTTGAATATTACAATGTACATTGTGGTAAAGAAATCTAAGGCAACCACAGTGAGACTAGCATAATGTAAAAACGAATATTAGCCTTGTTAGCATGTTTTAGCTAACTTGCCCAACACTAGTTAGCTTGAATCTCACAAATAAGGCTAAAAGGTTAAGAGTTGCACACTATTATGTACAAAACGGATGAAAATATGTTTATACCTTGTTCAGATGACAGTGAAACCTCCTACAGATTCAGCCCAGACTGCTGTCTGCTGCTGTGAGATACCCTTCTCCTACGTCAGGCATGTCAAAGTCAAATACATCAGAGGGCCAAAAAAACAAATTTGCTACGAGCCGAGGGCCGGACTGGTTCAATGTTTATTAACTCATTGCCTGCCAGCCTATTTCAGAACAGGTACTCCCATATTGCCAGCAGTTTCTGATGATTTTTATAGATTTTTCAAGACCCACAGAATATTGTGTACTATGACTATCTGAAATCCGAAACCAGATTCTGAAAGAACAGACTGTCTACTTTCATCAGAAAGAGACACAGAGGCACAACAAGTGCACCTAGCTGTTTTCAAACCATCCAGAGAGCGCTGCTGCCACCTGCTGGCTCGATTCAATATGCTCTCAAGCTTATCCCCAAACATATTACATATAATAGACATCTGGGAACATGAAAATAGCGGAAAACGCAATTGACGTCATAGTGCGTCAATGGCAGGCAACGGGCCATGTAAAATTCATTCGCGGGCCGGATTTGGCCCGCGGGCCTTGACTTTGACACCTGTGTCCTACGTCATCGCCGCCATTTTGGCTCCCCCTAGCGTTTGTGAAAAGGTGCCACTTCAAAGCTGTTTTTTTAACATAATTCATCTGAACATGTCAAAATGAACACCCGAAATATTATAAACACATATTGTAGTTATGTATTCTGGATAGCAGCATATTAAATTCTAGTACTACTTTAAAGATTTGATTTGCTTCCCATCTGAGGACTAAAAACAACGGCCAAACGTGTGTATACTGTCATATACACATATGACAGTATACACACTGTCATATGGGCGGCACGGTGGCTGAGTGGATAGCACTCTCGCCTCTCAGCAAGAAGGTCCTGGGTTCGAATCCCGGCCGGACCAGGGCCTTTCTGAGTGGAGTTTGCATGTTCTCCCCGTGTCTGCGTAGGTTTCCTCCGGGTACTCCGGTTTCCCCTACCACTAAAAATATGTACAATTGGTCTGGCATGCGCCTCCTGTTCGGCGACCCCGCTCCCATCTCTGTGTGGAGTGAGAGGACAAGTGCCCAAAAAATAACAATTGTAAACCGCTTTGTGACTCTGGTCTGTGAAAGGCGGTATATAAATAAAAGCTTACTATATATACTAATGTATACTGTCTTACAGTTCTGTCTTACTCCTGTGTCCTGTGTTCAGGTATGAAGTGGATGACATCGATGAAGAAGGCAAAGAGTGGGTCGAATTATAAAAATATATATTTTTTTACAATATAAATTTACTTAGGGAGCACAGCTAACCACCACACACTTGTAAGCGCTCCTTCTCTTCCCCAGCCTCAGTCTCACTCTCTCCCCTCCTCTATCCCCCAGTCTCAGTCTCATCCTCTCCCACAGCCTCAGTCTCACCCTCTCCCCCAGCCTCAGTCTCACCCTTTTCCACAGCCTCAGTCTCACCCTCTCCCCCAGCCTCAGTCTCACCCTTTTCCACAGCCTCAGTCTCACCCTCTCCCCCAGCCTCAGTCTCACCCTTTTCCACAGCCTCAGTCTCACCCTCTCCCCCAGCCTCAGTCTCACCCTTTTCCACAGCCTCAGTCTCACCCTCTCCCCCAGCCTCAGTCTCACCCTCTCCCCCAGCCTCAGTCTCACCCTCTCCGCCAGCCTCAGTCTCACCCTCTCCCCCAGCCTCAGTCTCACCCTCTCCGCCAGCCTCAGTCTCACCCTCTCCCCCAGCCTCAGTCTCACCCTCTCCCCCAGCCTCAGTCTCACCCTCTCCCCCAGCCTCAGTCTCACCCTCTCCGCCAGCCTCAGTCTCACCCTCTCCGCCAGCCTCAGTCTCACCCTCTCCGCCAGCCTCAGTCTCACCCTCTCCCCCAGCCTCAGTCTCACTCTCTCCCCCAGTCTCACTCTCACCCTCTCCGCCAGCCTCAGTCTCACTCTCTCCCCCAGTCTCACTCTCACCCTCTCCACCAGCCTCAGTCTCACCCTCTCCCCCTGCCTCAGTCTCACCCTTTTCCACAGCCTCAGTCTCACCCTCTCCCCCAGCCTCAGTCTCACCCTCTCCCCCAGCCTCAGTCTCACTCTCTCCCCCAGTCTCACTCTCACCCTCTCCGCCAGCCTCAGTCTCACCCTCTCCGCCAGCCTCAGTCTCACCCTCTCCCCCAGCCTCAGTCTCTCTCTCTCTCCCCCCCTCCTTCCCCCAGCCTCAGTCTCACTCTTTCCCCTTATCCCCAGGCGCCACACCCTCAGCCGCCGCAGGATCATCCCTCTCCCCCAGTGGAAGGCCAACCCTGAGACCGACCCTGAGGCTCTTTTCAGCAAGGAGCAGCTGGTGCTGGCCCTGTACCCTCAGACCACCTGCTTCTACAGGGCCCTGATTCATGCCCCACCCCACAGGGTGAGAAGGGGGGAGTAGGCAAGCCAAGGTGATCCAAGATGGCACCATATTCAAATGAATGGTTTGTGCTCAGTGGCACATGTGCCGGCATGGGCGGCAAAAGATTTGCGGAACTCGCCAATATTTGGGCATCGTCTGGTCCTCCCGGTTCTGCGCAGTGGATGAGCTCCCATGATGGGGGGTGTGGCTTTCATGCACGTGCACAGAGGAGATCAGAGCAGAGTGAAAGCGGGAGTTAGAGCGGGTGCCAAACAAGCAGAGTTTGTGACAGTTAAGTGTGGATTTAAAGAAAACCGAAGGATTTAAGAAGAAAAAAAGTTCAGGATGACAATGGACATACAACCATTATGAAAGCTGTAGATGCTCTGTCATCTGAGGTCAAGCTGTTTACATTGAGTTCTATGGGGAAAATTTGGGGTAGTCCACGTGAATATAGTCTTGTTTATTCTGCAGTACCGCGAGAATCCCCTAAGCACATGGGTCTTTCAGCTCCAAGCTAGTAATACCCTATCCAGATATTATAATAGATTCATGGGAGGAGAGAGTGGATAGAACCAGGACGGGTGCTGTGTAACAACTATACTCTGTGTTGCCTGTGTGTCTCTGACTTTGTTTCTCTGTGTGACTGACTGTCTCTGTGACTGTGTTTCAGCCTCAGGACGATTACTCGGTTTTGTTTGAAGACACGTCATACACAGATGGTTACTCGCCGCCGCTGAATGTGGCGCAGAGATACGTGGTGGCGTGCAGAGAGAACAAGAAGAAGTGAGAGCCCTGGAGGAGGAGGGCCCCTTGGAGGAAGAGAGGCTCCTGGAGGAAGCGGAGAGAAGGCGCCCCCTGCTGGTCTTGTTCTGCAATGTTCTGTTTTTATAAAGAAATCAATATAAAGAACTGAGTCCGTCGTTCATTTGGTGTTGTTCATTGGAGCTGACTTTAAAGCTGGGATGTCATTATTACATTGAGATGAGTGATAAAGTAATACGTAATATTACAAGTGATTTTAAAGCACGGAGGGGAGCTCCAGCTACCACGGTCCGATCAGGATGAATTTATAACAATATATAACACAATACTTAAGAAACAAGGATACCTCAGGGACACCGGGTACTTAAAATATAAAACATGTTCACATCATTCGTAACTCAACAATCTCAAGAAACAACCAAACTCGTCCATATCTGATCTTTAGAGTCTCTCCCACTCTTTCTTCTTCAGGCTGCATGTCTTGCGTCGGGTTATGAATTCTTCTATGTGCAATGAGAAGAAGATGTCATCACTTGATATCAATGACTATGCTTCACCGAATCAACATTTTAATAAAACAAATAATACCGTGTATTTTATGTTGTCAAAAGTTCTGGGGGGCCTGAATTCATTAAAAATTAAAGCAAATAATATGCGCACAAATAATGTTAGTTTCACTGGCATTGTCCCTCAACAGCCAGTATGTTAGCATCGTTAGCATGGATCATATTAGCGGCTACGGAAGTGCCGTATCTTAGCTGCCCGCGGGAATCAAAGCAGACATGGCAGAAGCGGTGAGTGACGACCCTGAAAACACACACAAAGTTAAACTTAAAGACACTCTGACACGGCTGCCTCCACGCTGTGATAGTGACTGTACCAGGCACATGTTTAACGGATTCTCTTGTTTTGGACGAGATTGTGGATTATACTCATCTCGTTTGTTTCACAGTGGACATTGAGAGGTTTAATAACGGTGCAGTCGATGAGCGGATTGAATCAAAACAAAACACAGCCTCACCTTTTACAGCTGAGGTAATAACGTCATTAGACACATGTCTCAAGTTCCTGGATCGTAAGCTGTTGCTTCTGTCACTAGTTTCACGTCATGACTTGTGTCATATCTTTAGATCAGCTTTTTCAGAAAGTTAGAGAAACACAGGGCTTTATTATAAATATCTTACGGATGCTCGTCAGCGTCTCTTATTTCTGCTGATTCTGCTTCACTTGTATCGTTTCATCATTGAACCCAGAGGGAGACTAAACAAAGAACCTTAATGATCTTGTATTGAATCTGTTTTTGTTGGTTTCACAATTATGTTTCTGTCCCTGGTGCTGCACTGAGGACTCATGTTTCCTGTGGTTTTACTGCTAACAAAACAAATCTGTTGTGGTTTTAGATCAATCCTTCGACCAAACGCAGGCGAATCCTGGACCCATCGGCAATCGTCTCTGTGCCCATCTACTCCAGCAAGGTACTGCTGCTACTGTTTCTGCTGCTGCTGCTGCTACTGTTGTATTTAAGTTGTGTTTTACTGTTTCAGGTTAACAACAGTCTGAAGATGAAGGCTCCAGAGTTCAACCACAAATCCACAGGTACAAATGAAGAGGCGCCTGGTTCTGGTCTCGGTCCTGGTCCGGGTCCTGGGCCGGGTCCTGGGCCGGGTCTTGGTCTTGATCTCTGGTCTGTGCAGTGGAAGATGCTGATGCAGACGACAGGTTCTTGTCTCATTTCAACACAAAGAAACTTCCAGTGGTGACTCTGAGTGACGAAGAGGAGGAGGACTCCCCAAAGCAGACCAGGTGTCAGAGGTCAGACACACAGAGACACACACAGAGTCACACACAGACACACACAGAGACAGTCGGTCTATCAGTATCAGTGGAGCTGAAAAGGACGGTTAGTTTGAGCCTGGAGCTGTGTGTGTGTGTGTGTTTCAGTGGCCTGCAGCGCTCCCCTTCCCCCCCTCCTCCACAGAGTCTGCTCCAGAAGCCGTCACGAAAAGCCAAGCGGAAACTCAAGTAAGTCTGGTCCTGAGGCAGAGACTGAGGCAGAGACTGAGGCAGAGACTGAGGCAGAGACTGAGGCAGAGACTGAGGCAGAGGCAGAGGCAGAGGCAGAGGCAGAGGCAGAGGCAGAGACTGAGGCTGAGGCTGAGACTGAGGCTGAGACTGAGGCTGAGACTGAGGCTGAGGCTGAGACTGAGGCTGAGACTGAGGCTGAGACTGAGGCTGAGACTGAGGCTGAGACTGAGGCTGAGACTGAGGCTGAGACTGAGGCTGAGACTGAGGCAGAGACTGAGGCAGAGACTGAGGCAGAGACTGAGGCAGAGACTGAGGCAGAGACTGAGGCAGAGACTGAGGCAGAGACTGAGGCAGAGACTGAGGCAGAGACTGAGGCAGAGACTGAGGCAGAGACTGAGGCAGAGACTGAGGCAGAGACTGAGGCAGAGACTGAGGCAGAGTCATCTGTCCGCAGTGAGATCGCCCGCAGACTTCAGGAGGTGAACTCTCTGCTCGGTTCAGAGGTCGTCAGCAGCAGCAGCAGCAGCAGCAGGAGGCGGCGGTCGCCGCGGATACAGGATAAGCCTCCACAGACACAGACGACGAGCGAGGTGATAATAGTGACTGAAGACGAGGACTCAGGTCTGACCTGGTCTCCAGCCGGGTCTCCTCTGGAGTCTCCTCACAGACCAGACCCTCTGAGACCCATCCCCCTCAAAGTCCGCTGTCGAACTGACCTGCACAAGATCCATGTGTCACCGGTGAGTCAGGACATGGACCAGTGAGTCTGGACCAGTACCCGAACCTTGACCAGTCAGTCTGGACCAGTACCCGAACCTTGACCAGTGAGTCTGAACCAGGACCCGGACCAGGACCAGTGAGTCTAGACCAGGACACGGACCAGGACCAGTGAGTCTGGACCAGGACATTATGGCTCTTACCTCAGATGCTGCATAAAGTCATGATCTCAGTGCGATCACTAGAGGGAGCTGTAGTTCTTGTGTTTGTTGTCAACATTGAACATTGCAGATACAATCACTTATCTTTTTTTCTGTGCCCACAGGCCACGCCCCTCTGTGCTGTCGTGGAGCAGCTCTCCGTCAAACTGGGCATCCCGTCCCCTCGGCTGCTGCTACAGCGAGAGGAGGCGGAGCTTAGCACAAACGCCACAGTGGGAGAACTGGGACTAGGAATCGCAGACATCCTTGGTAAAAACCGAGAGACCAGAGAGACCAGAGAGACCAGAGAGACCAGAGAGACCAGAGAGACCAGAGAGACCAGAGAGACCAGAGAGACCAGAGAGACCAGAGAGACCAGAGAGACCAGAGAGACCAGAGAGACCAGAGAGACCAGAGAGACCAGAGAGACCAGAGAGACCAATACTCCTGGAGCTCTGTCTTAAAGGAGCTATACCCATTTCTGAAAGGTTTTTTTCAGTTTGAATGTTTAGCACCGCCCCTCAACTCGCTCACAGGCTTCTCATTTCCCATACACTCTCATCCTACGAAGCCATCTAGTTTTATTTGCGATCTGATACGTATGTAAACATTAACATTAGCATCAGTGCAACTTCTTGTAAGCTGTACAACGATCACTGATTAAATGGTAACATGCTGTTGTGTTTACCCGCACTGTAGACGCTAGAGGAGGCAGCCTGTTCGTAACAGCTCCGCTCCTCTTTCTTTGATTGGAGGCGAGCAAGTGTCACGTTAAGTTTGTACTCTGCACTTTTTACGGCCGGAATTCATACACAAGCTGAATCAATGAGCTCAAGTATTCAATCAAATTACAGATTTTAATTCAACTTGTATGTAGTTATAAGCCTTTTTATTAACTCATTAGAAATTAAATCGGCTATAGCTTCTTTAAACAGAAAACATGTTTTCAAACTACGTCCCCCAGCCTGGTTCTGTCTGCTTGTGTTTCCTTAATAATAAAGGTTCTTGTTTTGTGTCAGAGTGCGTAGTGATGGCGGAGGAGAAGGACACGCTCACAGACACTGATGTCATCACTGTGCGACTCCAGGGAAAAGAGCGCAGCGCAGCGCAGGAGTTCAGCTTGAGCAGGGTTTGTACCAGAGACACTGACAATACTAACAGACTGTTACCGCAGCAACAATGCTTACACAGATTGCATGCAGATGGACAATGCTAACATGCTAGCTCAATGGTGACGTTTGGCTCCTATTGACTCTTCTGTGATCCTAGTATGTATATTGAAGTTAGAGACTGTGTTTCCTGGACATGGATGAGTAGATGTTTCCAGAGCTTGGAGCTAAATGCTCTGCCTCTGACTGCTTTTTCTGAACTCTGTTGCAGACCTTTGCCCTCTGTTGTAGACCTCTAACCTGTGACCTCTGACCTCTGTTGCAGACCTCCCCTTTGGCCTCGATCTTCTCTCGGTTTGTCCTCAGCTTCAGTTCAACTCAAACTAATGTCAGTTTTCACTTTGATGGAAACAAACTGAGCCCTGAGCAAACGCCAGATCAGCTGGACATGGAGGACGGTGATGTCATTGAGGTGTGGCATTGATGTCATCCATGTGTGACAGTGATGTCATCCAGGTGTGGGTCTGAGTGATATGATCCAGAAGTGGGTCTGAGTGATGTCATCAAGGTTTGAGTGTGTGTTTCTCGGTTCAAACACATTTCACATAAATAAAGAAACGCCATATTTTTTAAGTTTCTGTAAAAATGCAGTTTGTAAAAAGGTCATTAAAAACTGATAAAAACCAAAACAATGAGTGGAAATGTTTATTACGTAAAACGTAAGGAAAAGACAGAGGCTATACTATAGACTATACGCTTTAGGGCATACCACACACGTCATAGGTCCCTTTGACACCCTATGCTGACACCGGAGGGAGCAATAATTTTTTTTTAAAATGGTGTGTGTGATGTCTCGGGTCTCTCTGATCCCTCTTTGGTCTATCTCTGGTCCCTCTCTGATGGTTGACTGCAGATAGAGTTGTTTACGAAGGATTTGATGACATCAGAACTGGGTCATGTGTATGTTTTCTTCACGTGCTTCCTGCGTGACTGACCACGTGTCCGGAAGTGTCAGCTGTGCTCGTCATGGCGTCGCGATAGTGTCTTGTTTTGTAAAAGTTTTTCAGTTCCTCCGCTGTCCCCTCGGCTGTCTGCTCCTCCAGCCCCCGCTTCGCACCCTCACACACGGGCATGGGTCTGTTCTGAGCTCCCGGTCCGCCACACGGGCCCTCACACTCTCCTGAAGCCGAGCAGAGGCGTCGGGAAGCGGCCACTGAGCTGCGCCAGTCTCCGCTGCAAGTAAACAACAGGCTGTTAGCATTAGCTTTATACTGGTGTCACTTTATCACATTTAAATATGGTTATGACTTGTATGACTCCTGCCTCTGGCCTAATGACGTAATGCGTGTGTTTGATTTGTAAAAATCATTACAGTCTGTGGCATATCAGTTTATGCCACAGACTGGAGTAAGGCGTTTATCTCCACAAATGTATCTGTTTTATTGCGTGTGTGTGTTTATATATATATATATATATATATATATATATATATTAGAGAGAGAGACCAAACTTCACGGAGACTTCCAAACTGAGGCCCACGGGCCAGGCGCGGCCTGCTCTGTCCTGTTATGTGGCCTTAATCTGTGAACACAAACTTTTCACGAGGCACTTCCTCTGTGTCATTCAACCAACTTTAGCTCCACCCTGTCTGTAGGAGACACATTTGGGAACTGAATTAAGTTATATCTGGCTGGTCTAGGTGCAATGTGAGCGTGCGTGTGTGTGTGTAATAAATGGCACATACCTGCTGGGTCCTGGCTAGCTGTGTGTGAGGCCACCATTGTTTCTATTATTGTTTTGTTTGATATATCTACTTTTCTGGCTTAGGTTTACTTAGGTTGTATTATTATCATTAATGTAGGTTTAATTACGTTGTATTAGTAGTATTCATTGGTGCAATGGTGAAATGGATTAAGGGGAAGAAGACTGCATTTAACCATTAAACGTCACAGTTGTATAGAAAACAGCAAGACGTTTTCTATATATACTATGATACTAATACACAACGTAAATACTCAGTTGGTGGAGCATTGGCCTTTGGGCCTGAGGGTTGTGGGTTCGAGCCCACCACGAGACCTACTTCACGACTCCCACTGATGTCTACTGTTGTTGTGTCCTTGGGCAAGACATTCAACCCCACTTTGCCTGAAGCCCCCACTGAAAGATCAAGGCTCCTGTGGACTCACCACCTGTACTATTACTTTAATAAACAACGTAAATACTCTTAATTATACTATTACTATAATATCATACTATTATACACTATAATCATACTATTACTATTTACTCGACTTATCTATAATTACACTATTACAACAAAAATTACTACTACTAGAATTATAATATTTCTATAATACTATACTATAATATATATTATTATATTACTTTAATACTAATACTAATACACTCTATAATCATACTATTATTATTTACTATTTAATTATACCATTACTATAATACTCTGAATGTATTGTAGCTGTCTCTTCTTCAGGCGACAGAAGGTCAGACCCTCAGCACAATATGTTACTATGACCGGACTGGAGTGGACCACTGCTGTTTTTCTCCTATCCACTAGAGGGCCCTGCTGCTCATCTGGGTCGTCTCCTATACTCCATTAAACTCGTTCATGTCCGCCCCCTGCAGGCACGTCATGGCAGTGGAGTCGGATGCTGCGCCTTTTCTCTCTGACGACAGTGAATCAGAGGCTCAGGATGAGACAAGGGTGGAGCCACATGGAGAGGACCAATCAGCGAGTGGCGTGTCGTCTAAGAGGGCGGTGCTTACGGTCTTCATCTTGTGTTACATCAACCTGCTGAATTACATGGACCGCTTCACTGTGGCAGGTTAGAAATCAGGTTAGAGCTCAGGTTACAGGTAGATGGATAGATACTTTATTGATCCCCTACAAGAAAAATTTAACTGTCCTCAAGCAGCAGAAACACATCCATACAAACAAATAAATACATCATTCTAAAAGAATAAAAATAAGGTCACAGCAGCAGCACAGGTGGTGCAGCCGCTTTGTTTAGACCATTTTCTTTGCTCTGGTCACTCTGGAGTTAAAATCTTAGTTAAGAGCTCAGAGGAGAGGGGTCCTCCTTTATGGGGCGTTCAGACCATATCATGCGTTGCATTAACTTTCAATGTAAAGTCAATGGCAATGGAGATGCATGGACTGCGCAGCAGAGGCACAGGAACGGAAAATTGACGCAGGCAGGAGATAAACATTGCTGACATTATTCTGCAGGACGCACGCGCAGCGACCAATCAAAGAGCCGCAAAGTGGTCACGGAGTCACAGCGGGCAGACTGAAAATACTCGTAAACAGAGCTAGACCAGGATTGAACCCGGACTAAACCAGGTTTGACAAAGGGGGGACACAGTGCTTTTGAACATTCTCCAGCAGCTAACGTGTTCGCTGATGCGGAAGTACCGCTTCATAATAAAAGGAACTCATGGTGCACCTCCGTGAACACATACTGCTGTTTTATAAAGTCTTTGGACAGAGACGCTGCAGAGCTGCATTATTGGAGAAGTACTTTACACAAAAAGCCGCTAGTGTAACTAGCTAGTTAGCGGCTAGCATCAAAGCCCTTCCCCCACTTCCACCGGGCGCCACCGCAGGCCAGGACTTCAGGTCTGAACACCCCTAGCATCTGAAATGTATAGAATGTGCGTGGAAGCTGCGTTCTAGCGTAGGCGGTCTGAACGCCCCATTAAACCTGCTTTGTCTCTATTCTATTTGTTATGTTCACAGGAGTCCTTCCTGACATTGAGAACTACTTTCTGATCGATGACTCGAAGTCGGGACTCCTCCAGACCGGTAACACTCCTGTCTCTGCCCCAGTCCCTGTCTCTGGTTCTGTCCCTGTCTCTGCCCCTGGTCCTGCCCCAGTCCCTGTCTCTGGTTCTGTCCCTGTCTCTGCCCCTGGTCCTGCCCCAGTCCCTGTCTCTGGTTCTGTCCCTGTCTCTGCCCCTGGTCCTGCCTCTGCCCCTGCCTCTGCCTCTGTCCTCACGTCTTTCTGTGTTTCAGTGTTCATCTGTAGTTACATGTTCCTGGCGCCCGCTTTTGGTTACCTCGGCGACCGCTATAACAGGAAGTACATCATGAGCGTCGGAATCTTCTTTTGGTCTCTAGTGACGCTGCTGAGCTCCTACACACCCAAGGAGGTCAGTCCTGCTTTAGACTTGCTTTAGACTTGCTTTAGACCTGCTTTGGTCCTGCTTTGGTCCTGCTTTAGATCTGATTTAGTCCTGCTTTAGACCTGATAGTCCTACCTTAGACCTACCTTATTAGAGCTGTGTGTGCAGCACTTCTGGCTGCTGCTGCTGACTCGGGGCCTGGTGGGAGTGGGAGAAGCCAGTTACTCAACCATTGCTCCGACGATTATCGCAGATCTGTACGTGAAACGGCAGCGCACAAACATGCTCTCTATCTTCTACTTCGCCATCCCAGTGGGCAGGTAAGCCCTGTTCCCATGGGTCTGTGAGCCCCCTGTGTGTGTTCAGTTTGTGTGTAACAGTTGTGTTGTTGTTCTGCAGTGGGCTGGGATACATTGTGGGCTCTCAGGTCAGTCAGGCAGCTCACAACTGGCACTGGGCTCTGAGGGTAAGTACGGACTGACGGCAGGTTTTTAAACTGTTTCTATTACAAGGTGAAATAATAACCTGTTTTAATGGACAAAATGAAGATCTGTTAAAAAAAAAAAGCTCTTTTTTCTCTCTACTCTCCGCTCTCTCCACTCTCTTCTCCTCTCTCTCCCTTCTCTCCCCATCTCGTCCCCCTCTCCCCTCAGGTCACTCCCGGTCTTGGCCTGTTGGCGGTAATGTTGCTCCTTTTTGTGGTGCAAGAGCCTAAACGTGGAGCAGTGGAGGCTCGACCAGAGGAGCAGCTTCACCACACGAGCTGGAGCCAAGACCTGAGGAACCTAAGCCACAAGTACGCGCTCACTTGGACACACAGACACGTGACCCTGTCTTCAGTAGTCCCTTGAACTCTAACCCGGACTCTGACCCTAGACCTTTTTTTTTTTCACAGCCGCAGCTTTGTTCTGTCCACTCTAGGCTTCACGGCGGTGGCATTTGTGACAGGCTCACTTGCTCTGTGGGCCCCCACCTTCCTCCTGAGAGCTGCCATTTTCTCTGGAGAGAGGGGCCCCTGTCAAGACCAGCAATGCTCCTCCAACGAGAGGTTAGACCTGCTTTAGATCTGCCTTGGACCTGCTTTAGTCCTGCTTTAGACCTGCTTTAGTCCTGCTTTATTAGCAGTGCTTTTGGGATCCCAGCGCACAGAAAACTCTGTCCTGCGCACAAAATGAAAATCCAGCATCCTGTGCCACCAGCACAAACGACACGGCTGCATATTTCTACATTGTGTGGACAATGCAGTTCGCGGTGTGCAGGGTGAGGTTGGTCCTAGTCCTGTTCTGGATAAAACGCAGCTTCAGACTTCTGTGTTGGGCAATTTTCCCGCACTCGCGGACAGTGTACCTTTCCTTTTATTGTCAGAGCCGAAAGCTCTCTGTGAGGATGAGGAACACTGTTCGCGAGTGCGGGAGAATTTCCCAACACAGAAGTCTGAAGCTGCGTTTTATCCAGAACAGGACTAGGACCAACCTCACCCTGCACACCGCGAACTGCACTCGCGGACTCGGCCTTGCCGCTGACTTGCAGGGCAGTGTCTCACAAGCACTGCACCAACTGCTACGGTGTGTGCGTGGAGCTACACACACACCTAACGTGCACGCACACATGCAGACACACACATGTAGGGAGATGAGTCTTGAGTCTGATGAACATGAGATTCCTGCTTATGTCCCTCTCTTTGCCCAAATTGTTGTTAGCACTTATCTTTTCACTGACGTTAAGAAGTAACTTTGTTGGCCCAGCGCCCCCTTTTGTTCAGCACAAATTTGCCTATTACTGAGTACATTTGGTTTTGTGGCAATTTATTCATATAGACCCTATTCATTTTATTAATATGAATATGAATAGGCTAAATCCTTTTTGATTTTTGTGTGTGTGGAACTCGTCGATTGAAACTGAAGTAACTTAAATGAATGAAATCGCAGCAGGTGTATTGAATTGTAAATAGTTTTTTAACAGTGATCTCTTGCTCCACATGCCGGTCAGGGGGTTTGTGTTTTTGCTCAGACCCATGAAAAATTAGATGGAACACTGGACCTGGTTTAGTCCTAGTTTAGTCTTGGTTTAGTCCTAGTTTAGTCCTGGTTCAGTCCTGGTTCAGACCTGGCCCTTGTGTGTCCTCAGCCTGGTGTTTGGAGCAATCACGTGTGTGTCTGGTGTTGTGGGCGTGGCCTCTGGCGTCCAGCTGAGCCGCTATCTGAGGAGGTTCACTGACAGAGCTGACCCTCTGGTCTGTGCGGCCGGTCTGCTCTTGTCTGCGCCGTTTCTCTACCTCGCCATCGTCACCGCCGAGAGGTCCACTGTGGCTACATATGTGAGTTCGAGCTTATAGCTTAGAGCTGACCTTGGAGCTGACTCACACACATGATCAGAGAAATATTTTCTGTTTCAGATTTTCATTTTTCTCGGAGAAACGTTTCTGTCCATGAACTGGGCCATCGTCGCTGACATTCTACTGGTGAGTCCTGGTCACATCCAGTCCTAGTCCAGAGCTGATTCCGACTTGGTTCTGTTGCAGTATGTGGTGGTCCCGACGCGCCGGTCCACAGCTGAGGCTCTGCAAATCGTTGTGTCTCATCTCCTCGGAGACGCTGGCAGCCCCTACCTCATCGGAGTGGTTAGACTTACTTCTTTAGACCTGCTTTAGTACTGCTCTCTGTCTTGGTTCCAGTCTTGGTCCTGGTATCACTCTCGGTCCTGGTCTGTTTCAGGTCTCGGACTCCCTTCGCAGACAGCCTTCGTACCTGTGGCAATTCCGGTCGCTGCAGATTTCTCTTCTGCTCTGTTCTTTCATCGCCGTCATCGGAGGAGGATTCTTTCTGGCCACAGCACTTTTCATCGAGACGGACAGGAAGAGAGCAGAGGACTACAGGCCCTCAGGTGAGATGCAGGGACGGGGACAGAGACAGAGGGACAGGAAAGAGCGCAGTGTACTACAGGCCCTCAGGTGGGACACAGAAGGATGGGGTGGAGGGGGACAAAGAGAGCAGAGGAATACAAACAATAAGGTGAGACAGAGACACAGAGAGAGACAGGAAGAGAGCAAAGGAGCCCTCAGGTGAGACAGAGGGACAGAGAAAGAGGGAAAGAGAGTGAGAAAGACATAGATAACCAACCTGTATCTCCTCTCTTTTTGGTCCCTCTAATCTGTTTTTTCTCTATGTGGTTATTTTCTGCTGACCCCTGTTTGTGACCTGTTGCAGACGAGCCGATTGTTGTCCCTAAAAGTGGGCGTTCCACCCGTGTCCCTGTGTCCAGCGTCCTCATCTGAACTCATTTAAAACTAAAGACTTTTTACTTTTTTTTATTTTGAAGAGTGAGACGCAGCTGATCTGGGACCAGCCTCAGTGCTTTTCTAATCATGTTTTAACACATCAGCAATCATTAGTTTATACTTTTAACACGTTTTTTTCTGTTTTATCCTTGTGTTACGGATGTTGTCTCCCTCTGCTGGTGGCAGCTGGAGATTTTAAAGGAATTATGAGAAAATATAATTTTAATGCTTGTGATTAAAGCTGCATTTGTACATTTACTGTGAGTGTTTTGTTCAAACAGAAATCTATTAGTCTCAAAACTGTGACACTCGGAGTACAGAAACCCTGTCTCCACAGCCTTACTCTCCTTAGGAAGGATATGGTACCTGAAGTGTAATGGAAATTAGTAGGGTTCTGTGCAATAGAGGTCAATATAGAGCGAGTTTGATAACATAGCATTGAGACAGAAGGGTCTGGGTTCGTGTCAGAAGCTCGTGATTTTATTGCATCTGGACCCCCAGTTTCCAAACCGCAGTGACTTTGTACGTGCGCGTGCCTGTCCATCCTCCACGCTGACGGGAGCGTGCACGCAGCTGTCAGGAGGAAGTGCGGGCGACTGAAGCTGATAAAGCGCTCTGCACCCGAAACAGCCCGAACAAAGTGATTATTCCTGGCCGTAGCTGTCGGAGAGGCCCGTGCGGAGGTGTGTACCAGAGCTGGTGGAGGAGCGTGTTCCTTTGGCCGCAGAAACACTCTCCAAACACCGCGGAGCTAACTGTGCTAACGTCAACACAGCTAATGCTATTGGGGCTAAGCTAACTGTGCTAACGTCAACACGGCTAATGCTAAAGAGGCTATGCTAACTGCACTTGCGGAGGACACGGTGCTCTGTATCGGGACCCAAGCTCCTGAGTCCGGCCGCTGAGGTGACAGTACCCCGCAGGAGGAGGTCACTGTGGCGGGGGAAGGGAGCTGCATCCGGGCGGACTGCAAGGACGCGACACCGGCCCAGGGTGAGTGAGCAGCGGCTGGAGAGGTGGGGTCAGCCCGGGGATGAGGCCGGGGACAGGCTGCTCCTCCCGGGCCTCGCAGGGGCGGTGTGGAGGCGGTGTCCATCAGTGTCATCATGTTTTTAACTCTGGTAGAAGCTCAAGGACACAGTGCTGACCATGAGGACGCAGGACTGACCATGAGGGTTGACCATTAGGGCTGACCATAAGGATACAAGGGGAAGTTAAAACATATTTATTACATCAGCAGTATTGAAAAGATAAATCTGCAACTACAGGGATGTACATACCACAATTCTGAATTTGTCGTCACAGTCTGAGTTTAAAGCCTTGTTTCCACCTGCTGCTCTTTTAGTCCTTGGTCCCTGGTTTATGACAGGGGTGATGTGTTCTAAAATAAGCCACCAAGTGTTCTAAAATAAGCCACAATAAGGTAAATCCTCTCCGTAGCAGCTGTTTTCTTTTTAAGGCTATAAACCCCTTACCAGAGAAAGACCAGCGAGATGGGGACCAGAGAAGTAACGCTGTCAAACTTTGTTCCATTCACCAGGTTACAGGGAGGACCACGACAGTTTCACCTTTCAAATGATTTATTGCAAAGTATTACAATAGGGATTAAAAGCTAGGGGATTTGGTTAAAGTTAAAAGGGTAGTTGTCTTTCCAAAGTTTGGGGAAGAAAGCTTTAACGCCTTTTTCTAGGGTCCAGGCATGAAATGCAGCTTGGTTGGCCCCTAGAAAACTGTGTGACATCACTCTAATCTTTTTTTTTTTTTAATGGCGGAGAGTCACCCCTCCTGCAGGAAATTGTGAAAAATCGTATTTGTGCAATTCAGGGGTGTCAAACCGGTTCCAGAAAGGGCCGGTGTGGCTGCAGGTTTTAGTTCCAACTTGAGCAGGAGCACACCAGACTCCACCCATTTCCTCAAATCTTAAGGTGAAAAATGGTCTCACCTGAGGAAATGGGTGGAGTCTGGTGTTCTCCTGGTAAGGTTGGAACTAAAACCTGCAGCCACACCGGCCCTTTGAGGACCGGTTTGACACCCCTTAGCTGCACGAGCCGCATTCATTTCACATGTGCATTCAAAAGTCCTCAGTGGTTAAACTAGACTGGTCCAAATATTATTCCCCCTCAGCATCAACATAATCTGGAACGTAGCGTTGAGCCAATTGCGACTTTTGGACCATCCTGTGAAGACGTTTTTGAGTGGAAAGAAGGTGACGTACAAATGCACTGAATAATTCTGTTTCGGGGTACAACACCACCATCAAAAAAGAGTCAGATTACAAGTATGTGTCATTGACCTTTTTGAGCTTTGTCCCGCTCCCACTGGGCTGACTATTCTGGTCTTCAGACCACCTGGAGGACCCGAGCTGTTTTAAACAAAGCAGTGGAAGAGACAGGAGAAGGTGCACTGAGGATTAAAAAGGAAATACCTCCTCCGGCAGCTGCCGCTAATTAATAGCATGGCCATTGGCCAACTACAAACAAGGAAAAAAAAAACACACCCAACTTAAAGTGACAGTGTCCTGTGAAACTTGAAACCCAGTTACACAGAGTCCTCTGAATGAATCACTGCAGTGCACACAAGCTACATATTTTATAAGATGTTGTTGGAGTTATCAGGTGGTGCATGATAAACATAGTAGAAAAGCACAAACCCCCAGCAAAACAGCGTGTGACAGTAAGGGACCAGTGTACAGTGAAATCCTGATAATGGCTTACAGGGAACAGATCCTCAACCTCCTCGGCTTTAATCCACAGACCCCCACAGAGATGATGAGCACTGCCTGAAACGCCACCTGCTTTACTCCTGGGTCTCACACTGAAAGACTAGCTTCTCCTGCGGAGGAAGGACTTTGTTTCTCTGTGTTCAATTAAATTAAATTAAATTGGTCTTCCTCCTGAACAGTGAGTGTCCTTTTCAGCCTCACTCTGTTACTGCCTCATCATTGCTCTCTCCATTTGAATACACGTGGATAATATGGCCACAGTTATGGCCACTCTAATTCTGTCACAACTGAATTTCTCCATAACTAATAATCAGTAAGTTATGGAGTAACAAAGTAAAAGTCGTGTGTGGGTGTGTGGACCCCATATCTCTATATCGTATATCTAAGCGTATATCTCTCTGTGTCTCTGCGTCTTTGCTTTGTGTCTGTCTTTCTGCTTTGTGTCTCTTCTCTGTGTCTCTGTCTCTGCGTCTGTGTCTCTGTTCTGTGACTCTGCTCTGTGTGTCTCTGTTTAATTGACTTTCTTCTTCTGTTATTATTTTCTGGAGATCTGAGAGAGAGAGTGAGCGATGGCCGAGCTCACTGCTCCGTACGGACACCAGGGGGAGCTACCTCCAGAGTTCACGCCATCATCCACCCAAGAAGCACTGCCTAAAGACCCTCTCCGATCAGCTCTGGACCACCTTAAAACTCTGGACCACCTTAAAACTCCATCTCCAGAGGTCATGACGTCATCCACCCAAGAGAGTTCAAAAAAAGACCAGGAGGAGCGTGCACCTCCTCACTCCACACAGTCTGCACCTCCTCAACCCACAGAGCCTGTACCGCCTCACGCCACACCGTCTGAACCTCCTCACCCCACACCGTCTGAACCTCCTCACCCCACACCGTCTGCACCTCCTCACCCCCACACAGTCTGCACCTCCTTACCTCCACACGGCACTCCTCACCTGTTCCCCAGTGTCCAGGTCACACCCCTCTCTGAGAACGGAATCGCACAGTCTCCACAAGTCGCTCCTCTTAAGGAGGAGGTGGAGGAAGCAGCTGGAGCACTAAATGTGGTGGTGAAGGAAGCAGCTGGAGCACTGACGGAGGAGGTGGAGGGAGCAGCTGGAGCACTGAAGGAGGAGGTGGAGGGAGTAGCTGGAGCACTGAAAGAAGAGGTGGAGGGAGCAGCTGGAGCACTAAAGGCGGTGAAGGGAGCAACTGGAGCACTGAAGGAGGAGGTGGAGGGAGCAGTTGGAGCTCTGAAGGAGGTGAAAGAGGAGAAGGAGGAAGTCTCTGAGAGCAAAACTACAGGTAATGTTAATATTGGGGCCAGCACTAGTAAATCCTCCCATGCAGAGAGAGACCAGGGAGGGAGGGACACCAGAGAGAGGGTAGGGTGGGTAGGGGAGGTCAGGGGGTGTAGGAATAGGTGGACACTTCATTATGTCACTTTAAGCATGTTTGAATCTCTAATAGTCGCTGTATCCTGTGTGTGCGGCAGATGGCCCCAGTCTCCCCATCATCCATGAACCAGAGACGGAACCTGAGTGTCCCCTGGCCCCGCCCCTGGGCCCCCGGGTTCCGGCCCCTGACTCCCTGAGTTACCTGGAGTCTGCAAGTGTAATGTCTGGGACCATGGAGTCTCTGAGCGGCCTAGACGACTGCAGCTCTGTGGGCTCTGACTCTGAGGTTAACGGGCTCTCGGTCAAGAGGACCGACAAATACGGCTTCCTGGGAGGGAACCAGTACAGCGAGAGTGGGTAAGAGCGCCCCCTGTGGACGGTTGTATTACTGCAACAGTACTCTTCAGTGCTCTGTCTCAGTTCCCTGTCCTCAGTCCTCTGTCTCAGTCCCGTTCTCAGTCCCCTGTTTGTCTCTGTTCCTTTTCCTCAGTCACCTGTATCAATTTCTTGTCCTCAGTCACCTGTCGTCTGTCTTTAGGGAGAAGGAGGTGCGTGTGGAGGTGTCCCGTCAGAGGGAGATGAAGTGGCTTGACATGTTCAACCACTGGGACAAGTGGGTGAAGCACCGCTTCCAGAAGGTTAGACTAAGGTTACAGACCACAGCTTGAAACATGTGTTACTTAAGAGACTAAAGTTAGGTCCCTGAGCTTTAACCTGTGTTATTTATGAGACTAAATTAGATCACTGAGCTTTAACCTGTCTTGCAGGTGAAGATGCGCTGTAGAAAGGGCGTCCCATCGTCTCTCAGAGCAAAGGCCTGGCAGCTGCTCTCCAACAGCCAAGAGCTGCTGGAGGCCAACCCCGGCAAGTTCGAGGTGAGACCAAGGGAGGACCAGGGGACAGGCCAGGGGGAGACCAGGGAAGCTGGAGTTTCTCCCTGAATGAAGCCTCTGATTGGTTCATATATGGATTTAAAGACAACATAACATATAAACAGCAGAATCACAGTTTAAAGTAGTACTAGAATTTAATATGCTGCTATCCAGAATATATAACTACAATATGTGTTTATAATATTTTGGGTGTTCATTTTGACATCCATCCATCCATCCATTTTCTACCCTTTAATCCATTTCTGGGTCAGGGGGGTGGCAATCAGAGATGCCACCCAAGTCTCATAGCATTTTGACATGTTCAGATGAATTATATGTTAAAAAAACGGCTTTGAAGTGGCACCTTTTCACTTCCGCATAGAAACGCTAGGGGGAGCCAAAATGGCGGCGATGACGTAGGAGAAGGGCATCTCACAGCAGCGGACAGCAGTCTAAAGCCTGGTTCACACGGCAGGATATTTAGGCAGATTTAGACCCGATTTACCTCTTACGACAATCTTAAGAAACGCTCCGATTTCCGTAACAAAATCTTACAGATTATCCTGCCGTGTGTGGTGTGTTAAGACTGCACTCGTCGCTCGGAAGGACATCGGGACTGCTCCCGATCTCAAATCGGGAATATCCAACATGTTGGATTGTTTTGGCCCGATTTCTCGTCGTGTGTGGTGTCCTCCGAGGACAAGCGAGCGCGTTGCCATGACTACGGCGTGTAGCCAATAAGAAGACGAGGTGACAAGCCGGTGAGGAAACACCGGAAAAAAACCAAAACACAGCAGCATGGCTTTGACCATTGCCTTTTATTTGGATTACGTCTCTTCTCTGTTAAAGAAGCTATACCCGATATTTTTTCTAAGTAGTTCATAAAAATGCTTTTTACTACATACAAGTTGTATCATAATACATCATTTAATTGAAAACTTGAGGTAATTGATTCAGCTGTGTAAGAATTACAAGCAGTGAAAAGTGCTGAGTAGAGTCTGAGCGGGCCGCTCGTTCTCCTCCGCTCACAGAACGAGCAGCGAACAGCCTGCGTCCTCTAGCCTCTACAGCGCTGCTTAACACCAGGGCTTCAACTTCAAAATTCGAATATAATTCTAAAATAAAAAATGATGAACAAAATAATTGAATAAAAAAATGTGAACAAATATTAGACAACCCTTGTAATTCGAAATGTATTTAATGACTGCAAATAAAATAGTTAGCTCCCAAAGGTTACACCGGGACGTGCTAGGCAGGTAACAGCTAAGCTAGCTAGCTGTTTCATGGTAACTTCCGAGTTTTTCGCTTTTTGTCACATTGAAACAGTATTTTTGTCATGAAAACGTTAACAGCAAATTCTGAAATCATCCGTGCATGTGTGTTAAGGATGTATATGTGTACTGTATTGTCCGATTGACGTTTAATGGTGTTGATTGATAGATACAGTATGTAGTTGTTTATTGAGCGTGGCTAGCTCCGCTAGCTCCGTTGGCTTCTCTACACAGACGAGTGTGTAGTGACAGGTGCTGATAGCTTGTTGTACTTGCAGAGTAATGGCAGTATTTTACACACCTGAATTACAAACAGAGGTTGCATTGGGGCTTCGGTCATTATTGGTTTGAGAGTTCTGTTATCAAGAAAAAATGTTCGGAAGAATTGCTGCTGCTGCTTTGAGGAGCTCTATAACACATTATAATTAAATATTAGAATATATTCTAAGGTTTTAAATTAATACATTCGGACGCGAAACTAGCGGTATTCTTTTACTTATATATTGTGTTAGCAGTGCATTGCTTTAGTGCCATTTCATCAGTGATTGTTGCACAGCTTACAAGAAGTTGCGCTAATGCTAATGTTAGCATATGTATCAGATTTCAAATAAAACTAGGTGGCTCTGTGTTATGAGAGCGTAGGGGAAATGAGAAGCCATTGAGCGAGTTGGGGGGCGGTGCTAAACATTCAAACATTGCAGCAACGGGTATAGCGCCTTTAACAACAAACTGCACACTATCGCCACTGCATCCTCTTCGTCCGCCATGACTGTTTACTCTGAAGTCACGCTTGATCTCGAGAGATTTTGTGAGATTTCCGTCTGACCTGGGAATGCTCGGGGGGTGTGTCGGTTCGTGTGTGATGTTTGTGGCTTGCGTGATCTTGCCGTGTGGCTACGCACCACACACTGCACGACCAAAGTGGTTAGACGCAGGATTTTTAATCTCCCCGTGTGGGGTCTAACACGGAGAAAAATCGGCCGACAATTTTAAAATCGTCTCGTGTGAACCAGGCTTTAGCTGGAATCTGTAGGAGGTTTCACTGTAATCTGAACAAGGTATAAACATATTTTCATCCATTTTGTACATAAGTGTACAACTCTTTTAACCTTTTAGCCTTATTTGTGAGATTCCAGCTAATTAGTGTTGGGCAAGTTAGCTAACTCTAGTTGATATCATAAAACATGCTAACAAGGCTAATATTCGTTTTTACATTATGCCAGTCTCACTTTGCCTTAGATTTATTTACCACAATGTACATTGTAATATCCATAAATGCTAACACCTATTAACGGTTTAATTAGCATTTTTATCAATGATTGCATCACATGTAGTCTTATGGTTTCAACTTCTGCAGCTTTTTGTTCATAAAAGTAAAATATTTATTTAATTCAAATTATTTTGATTAGCATTTTTGAATATTACAATGTACATTGTGGTAAAGAAATCTAAGGCAACCAAAGTGAGACTGGCATAATGTAAAAACGAATATTAGCCTTGTTAGCATGTTTTATGATATCAAGTAGAGTTAGCTAACTTGCCCAACACTAATTAGCTTGAATCTCACAAATAAGGCTAAAAGGTTAAGAGTTGCACACTATTATGTACAAAACGGATGAAAATATGTTTATACCTTGTTCAGATGACAGTGAAATCTCCTAGTTTCCAGCCAGACTGCTGCTGCTGCTGTGAGATGTCCTTCTCCTACGTCATCGCCGCCATTTTGGCTCCCCCTAGTGTTTGTGAAAAGGTGCCACTTCAAAGCCGTTTTTTAAACATAATTCATCTGAATATGTCAAAATGAACACCCGAAATATTATAAACACATATTGTAGTTATATATTCTGGATAGCAGCATATTAAATTCTAGTACTACTTTAAGCTCAACAAAAATAAAAAAAAAATAAAAAATTCCCCAGTTGTATGTTCAGCTAAACAGAACTGTTTTTAACCTGGATTTAAATATTGGTGGCCTGTCTCACATTTTCAGGAAGAGTGTTCCAGATTTCAGCTTGGGACCACTAAAATCCAATGGACTGATCAACAGATGTGGCTGCCATCTCTATGGGTCTGGGGTCAGGGTCAGCTGGTACATGTTCTAACCTCCTTCTCTTGCAGGAGCTGGAGCGGGAGCAGGGGGAGGCGAAGTGGTTGGACATCATCGAGAAGGATCTGCATCGACAGTTCCCTTTCCATGAGATGTTCGCCGCACGAGGAGGACACGGGTACACACAGGGTCCCTCTCTCTGGTCCCTCCCTCTGGTCCCTCCCTCTGGTCCCTCCCTCTGGTCCCTCCCTCTGGTCCCTCCCTCTGGTCTCTCTCTCTCTGGGCTCTCTGGTGTGTGTGTGCGTTTCTCTGTGTTTCTGTGTAGACTACAGCACCTGTTCCGGATCCTCAATGGTGGACTATATTACACTTTTTGACTTTTCTCTGGTTTGAACGTGATTACAGTGTTTTGCCAGCATTAGGTCACTGGAAAAAAATGAAAATAAAAATTCTGAACAAAATACTAGCCCCAAATGTCTTGATTATAGTATAAAAACATACATTTGAGTTATTCTTTATAATTTCTTAAACATTATTGAGAGATGTTTTCTGAAATTATAGCATAACATACTAATTTTATCTAAACAAGAAAAGTTGTCTGGAAATAAAAAGTTGAGTTGATTATGAAGTATTATTATCTTATACAATGCAATACAATACAATTTATTCTTGTATAGCCCTAAATCACAACAGAAGTCATCTCAGAGGACTTAACAAAACCATTGAAAGCAAATCTTATAACGAGTAGGCAAGGCAAGGCAAGTTTATTTGTATAGCACAATTCATACACAAGGCAACTCAAAGTGCTGAACAAGATAGCATTAAAATCATAAATAATCACAGAACATTAAAACGAAAGATAAAAATATAAAATCCCTCAGTTGTATCCACAGCTAAACAGCACCGTTTTTAACTTGGTTTTAAACATTGTCAGAGAGGAGGCCTGTCTCACATCTTCCGGAAGATTGTTCCAGATTTTAGCAGCATGAATCTGAAAAGCAGCCTCCCCATGTTTAGTCCTGACTCTGGGCACTAACAGGAGTCCAGTCCCTGTGCTCCTCAGAGTCCGGGCTGGTTCATATGGGACTAACATGTCACTAATATATTTTGGTGCGAGGCCATGGAGAGACTTGTACACAAGCAGAGCTGTTTTAAAGTCTATTCTCTGAGCCACAGGAAGCCAGTGCAGGGACCTGAGGACTGGACTAATATGGTCGTACTTCCTGGTTCTAGTCAGGACTCGAGCTGCTGCATTTTGAATGTACTGCAGCTGTTTTACAGCCTGTTTGGACAGACCTGTGAGCAGGCCATTGCAGTAGTCTAACCTACTGGAGACAAATGCATGGATAAGAATCTCCAGGTCTGCTTTAGACACTATGTTTTTGATCCTGGCAATGTTTTTTAGATGGTAAAAAGCTGCTGATGTTACTGATTTGATGTGGCTATTAAAATTTAAGTCTGAGTCCAGTATTACCCCTAGATTTCTGACCTTGTTTGAAGGTTTTAGGGAGAGAGACTGTAGATGACAGATGACGCTCTCTTTGTTTCTGGGGACCAAAGACAATCATTTCAGTTTTGTTTGCGTTTAGCTGAATGAAGTCGTTTTGCATCCACTTACTGATCTGTTGGATACAGTGAAGGAGTGAGTCCACTGGTCCATGTTCTCCTGCAGTCAGTGAGACATAGATCTGAGTGTCGTCTGCATAGTTATGATAGGACACTTTGTTTCTGCGTATTAACTGACCTAACGGCAGCATGTAGAGATTGAACAGAAGAGGTCCCAGGATCGACCCCTGTGGTACTCCACAGGTCAGGGCCATATGATCTGAGACACAGTTTCCAATCTCCACAAAGTACTTCCTGTCTTCAAGGTAAGACCTAAACCAACTTAGGGCGGTGCCAGCGACTCCAACCCAGTCCTCTAGTCTCTGTAAGAGGATCTCATGGTCGACAGTGTCAAAGGCAGCACTCAGATCTAACAGGATTGAGACTTTGCCTGCGTCAGTGTTCAGCCGGATATCATTTGTAACCTTGACGAGAGCAGTCTCAGTGCTGTGGTGGGGTCTAAAGCCGGACTGAAACATATCAAATGAGTTGTTGATTATAAGAAATCTAGTAAGCTGTAGGTAGACAACTTTTTCAAGGACTTTCCCCATAAATGGCAGATAAGAGATGGGACGATAGTTGTTAAGTACCGTAGCATCCAGACTGCTCTTTTTTAGCAGGGGCCTGATGACTGCAGTTTTCAGGGCCTTTGGGAATATTCCAGAATTAAGGGACATGTTTACTATCTGTGTGAGTGAAGGTAACAGACTGCTCAGAACAGACTTCAGAAATCTAGTGCATCCAGGCTGCATGTGGAGGAGCTCAAACTGGAGATTATCTCTTGGACAGTTTGATCATTTACAGGTGCAAAGTAAGTTAGCTCAAAGAGCCTTTCTGGCTGTTGGATTGTTATCTGTGGATTGGAGACAATGGTAACTACTACCATTAAAAAAACAAGCATCATTTATGTCATTTTTTGTAGATTTTACCCGTACCAAGATTTTACTTGATTCAGGGTTTGTGTCTACCACTGAATGTGTTTGCTCAGCGACTAAAAGTGTTAGCATCATGTTAACTTGGAGAAAATGTGTTTTTGGTTGTAACTAAGTGAATGTGACCCAAAGACGAAGAATGTGCGAGTGTAGTTAGACATTCTACTCATGGGATCTACCTTTTGAAATCCACGTTTCTGCGAGACAATTCTCCAAAGACTGCTAGTTTACCATGAAACTAGACTTACTCAAAAGCTTTTATAGAAACCTGTGTTATTCCCACATTAACAGACGCTGGCAAAGAGCTTCGCTCTGTAAGTACAGTGCTACTTATATCGCTGTATACTTCTGTGAACTAAATAATTATTCTCATTCTGTAGGAGGTCTTGGCTCTAAGTGACGGACCACCCTTGTTTATTCTCAGGTCTGAAATTATGTATGTGTGTGTGTGTATGTGTAGACAACAGGACTTGTTCCGGATCCTTAAAGCCTACACAGTGTATCGTCCGGAGGAGGGGTACTGTCAGGCCCAGGCTCCTGTGGCAGCAGTCCTGCTGATGCACATGCCTGCTGAGGTCAGAGCTTACATTAGAGCTTACATTAGAGGTACTCTTAGAGCTGTAATGATAGATGTTTGTGATTGTAGCAAGCGTTCTGGTGCCTGGTGCAGATCTGTGAGAAGTATCTGCCTGGATACTACAGCGCGGGGCTGGTGAGTATTTGTACTCGAGTATTTACTTTACTACTCCTAAATTTTAAATCTTTGCAGACCGCTACACCTGTCTTTACTGTTCACTCCGACTCTGTGTCCCCGACTCTGTGTCCTTGACTCTGTGTCCCTGAATCTCTGTGTCCCTGACTCTCTGTGTCCTTGACTCTGTGTCCCTGAATCTCTGTGTCCCTGACTCTCTGTGTCCTTGAATCTCTGTGTCCCTGACTCTGTGTCCCAGACTGTGTCCCAGACTCTCTGTGACCCCGACTCTCTCTGACCTCCTCTCTCTGTGATCTTCTTACTCTGTAACCTCCTCTCTCTCTGGCCTCTTCTCTTTGACTCCCCTCTCTGCCCTCCTCTGTCTGTGGCCTCCTCTCTGTGACCTCCTGTCTGTGATCTCCTCTCTCTGACCTTCTCCCTCTCTGCCCTCCGCTGTCTGTGGCCTCCTCTCTGTGACCTCCTGTCTGTGATCTCCTCTCTCTGACCTTCTCCCTCTCTGACCTCCTCTCTGTGACCTCCTCGCTGCATCTCTTGCAGGAGGCCATCCAGCTGGATGGTGAGGTGTTCTTCTCGCTGTTGCGCCGCATCAGCCCCATGGCGTATCGTCACCTGAAGAAATTTAAGATCGACCCCATTCTCTACATGACAGAGTGGTTCATGTGCATCTACTCCAGGACCCTGCCCTGGTCCTCAGTGCTCAGGGTCTGGGACATGTTCTTCTGTGAGGGTGAGTGTGTGTGCTTTTGTGTCTCCTCTCCCTCTCGCTCTCCTCTCCTTTCTCTCCCCCCTCCCCCTCATCTCTCTCTCCTCTCTCTCTCGTCTCTCTCCTCTCTATCCTCTCTTTCTCGTCTCTCGCTTCCCTCTCTCCTCTCTTCTCCCCTCTCTAAGCCTGGCTCTCCCCTGTGCTCTTACATGCCCCTACTGTCCCTGCCCCAGTCCTCACCACAGTCCTGTGCCACATGGTTAAATGGCAGTGATGGTGTGTATGCAGAGCTGAAGATGGTGTCCCACATGGTTACGTTGATGTATCTGTGCAGGGGTGAAGATAGTGTTTCGTGTGGGGCTGGTGCTCCTGAAGCAGATGTTGGGGTCAGTGGAGAAACTGAGGGAGCTGCAGGGGATGTACGAGACCATGGAACGTCTGAGGAACATCGCCCCCGACATGATCAGGGAGGAGGTGCTGGTGCAGGAGGTACAGCGTACACAGTCACATTGTACAACACATGATACACACATGATACGCACATGCGTACATGGTACACATACAAAATGCATGACATGGTACACACATAGGACTCATACAAAACATATGGTACACACGTACAAAAACACATGGTACACATATACAAAAACACATGGTACACACATACAAACACATGGTACACACATACAAACACATGGTACACACATACAAAAACACATGGTACACACATGCAAACACATGGTACACATATACAAAAACACATGGTACACACATACAAAAACACATGGTACACACATACAAAAACACATGGTACACACATACAAAAACACATGGTACACACATACAAAAACACATGGTACACACATACAAACACATGGTACACACATACAAACACATGGTACACACATACAAAAACACATGGTACACACATGCAAACACATGGTACACACATACAAACACATGGTACACACATGCAAACACATGGTACACACATGCAAACACATGGTACACACATACAAACACATGGTACACACATGGCCTCTCCTCTGACCATTCTCCTTTCCTCTGAACTCTGCCCTCTGACCCCTGCCTTCTTACCCCTGCCCTCTGACCTCTGCCTCTCTGTCCTCAGATCGTGACCCTCCCCATCACTGAGTCTCTGATTGAGCGTGAATATGGCGTCCAGGTGAAGAAGTGGCGCGAGTCTCGCGGCGCACTAACCCATGAACCCGGGCGCCGCCTGCACGGTACGCGTCACGTTTACGAGCACAAGCGCCGTGCCTCCTCCCTGGCATCAGGAGGCTCCTTCTCCTTTCTCAGTAGCAGTGCTCCTCCTCCTGGACCTCTGCGTGCCTCCTCCTCTCTGCTCTCACTCCCTGGCTTCAGGAGGTCGAAACCCTTCTATGCGCAGCCCAAAAAAGCCTCATTCTCCGGGCCGAGCGTCGCGTCTCCCCCACAGTCTCCTCCAGCGATGGGGAACAACAGCAACAAGCCTCCCCTGCCTCCCCCCAAGAGTGCACACGTCCAGAGCCCGCTGGCATCAAGCTGCGCCAAGGGAGAGGCGCACGCTATTGAGCCACACGCTAACGAGCAACACGCTAACGAGCCACACGCTAACAAGCCACACGCTGACGAGCCTCACGCTGACGAGCCTCACGCTGACGAGCCTCACGCAAACGAGCCTCACGCAAACGAGCCTCACGCAAACGAGCCTCACGCAAACGAGCCTCACGCAAACGAGCCTCACGCTAACAAGCCACATGCTAACAAGTCCGCAGATAACGCCCTCCAAGCTAACACCCTGTCGCCCAGAGTGGTCTCGGAGCAGATCACGCAACAGATACCGTCCCCCACGGCTAACAACGCTCCTCTGCTCGCGGCTGACCTCAAACCTGAGGAAGAGGAGGCCAAAAAGGGCGGGAAAAAGTCCAAGGAGGAGAGGAAGAAGAAGGAGGAGGAGCGCCGGCGGCAGAAAGAGAAACGTGACAGGGAGAAAGCAGAGAAAGAGCGCTCCAAGAAAGAGAGAGAGCGGCAGGAGCGTGAGAGGAAACGCAGCGGCAAGAAGAAGACAGGAGGTGCTGAGGAGGCAGGGGGTGCAGCAGGAGGTGCAGCTGCCAAAGACAGAGTCTGAGCAAGAAAAACACAAGTCCCAAAATGTTTGTTCCTCTGGTCCATCCGGCTGAGGGGGAGGAGGGAGGACATCTGATCAAACAAAAGACGTCATATAGTGAGCATGGGAGATTTACCAGACTTTGCATCTTTAAATCTGGGGTCTGTAACTCTCAGACCAATAGAATTCCGTATTTAACCCATGTCTCTAGTTCTGGCTCTAAAGCAGTTACTTCTGTCAATAGTTTTAACTTTAAGAGATCCTTTATTTGTCCCACAGTGGGGAAATTTCAGAGTCATGTATTTGTGATGTCACATCTTCAGATCAAAGAGAGGACCACCCTCACTCAGCCAATCAGCTCTCAGCCCAAAGGGTTGGACACAGAAGTTATTCGTGAGGCTAAAGTTACGTCCCCAGCTTTAAATTTGGTATTAAGTTTATTTTTTTCAAGCTAAAAAGTGTCAAAACTTATCCCACTGAGCAGAACTCTTTCATGTGCAGAGAGAGAGAGAGAGACCAGAGAGAGTGTGTTCTGCTCAGTGGACACTCTTCTAAAGCTCCTGGACTTCTCTCTGTTCGGACTGTGACAGAAATTACAGCAGTTTTAGTTTCTTCTGGACTTTTTAAATGTTTTTTTTTGATTGAAGTATGTGGTCAAAGACACTGTGCCACAGTTGTACTGTAAATATAGTTTAACATAGGATCCTCTGAGCACTCGGGCCGAGGGAACGCTGCTAACGCTAAAGCTAACTCTCAGACAGAAGGATCCATGCCCTCGGAGCGAGATGTTTGGGCTGCAGTTGTATTTATTCCGGAGCGTGTTGGAAAAAATGGTGACTGTGTTAGCATACGTTCTTAGCACAAAAAGTTAATTTCACGTTGGTTACTTAAAGATTTAAAAAACTGATGTAATAAATATGCAACAGAATAATTGTCACTATGAAGCGGATCTTGAAGACCAGAGAGACCAGAGGGACCACAGATGACCGGGTCAACTCCAGAGAGACCAGTCTGGTCTGGGTCCTGGTCTGGTCTGGTCTGGTCTGATCTGTAGCGTGGTTGATGCAGTGTTCGTAGCACTGATCTTATTTATTGAACTAATCTCAATGTTGTGAACGTGTTTCTGTAAAAACTCAGTCTGAAACAGCACCCCTTCCTCAGAAGCACCTCCTCTGGAGCACCTGCTCTACCTGGTAGTGTTTCCTTTATGCTTTAGAATCTGGTGCCGTATCCTAGCAACCTGCCCACAACAAACCAGTATTTGGGGAAATTTCTTGGCAACAATGGCTTCCAGCAGCACTCTGGCCAAGCTAGAACACTTTAGTACCAGCTCGGCCTGGATAGAACAAGGACCAGAGGGACTAAAGCAGGACCTAGTACTGGTTATACAGGACCAAAGAAAACACTCCCAATCAGAGCCGAGACCATCCTGATGTTGAAATCACAAATTAAACTTAAGTCTCTTTTGGAGGAGGTGCTCTCCTGGTGGAGGATTTGTCCTCCTGGTGGAGGAGGTGCTCTCGTGGAGAAGGTGCAGGTGTAGCCTCAGGCTGCTGTATTTATGTACAAAGGCTTAATTTAATATAGTATATAATGAATTATTATTATTTTGAAGTATTTTTCTACGTTGCCTGGACGACTGGAACACATTTTTGTTTTTGCACGTTCATAAAGAGACACACAATGTGGATTATCGATCTGTCAAATTATGTTTCCTGCCTTTTAAACAATAGTACTGAATGCTACTACTCCTACTACTACTGCTCCTGCTAATGCTATTGCTACTACTACTGCTTCTGCTACTGCTACCGCTGCTTCTACTGCTAATGCTACCACTGCTACTAATTACTGCAGCTACAACTTCTGCTGCTGCTGTTGCTGCCTGTGGATATTACTGCTATAGTTGAAGTTGTGTTATTGATGAAGCACACTTCTCTCAGATTTGATAAGTTCCACTTTGTGTGAATCGTGTAAAACAGTGTTGATGTTGACGTCAGTATTTTTTAGCTTTGCTGACGTCAGTATTAAAGCTTTGTTGACGTCAGTATTAAAGCTCAGCTCAGACGTGAGTCTCTAATTTAAACCTTGTGTCTTTATTTCATGAAGTTTTGACAAATGTTATTATTTGGGAGATGAAGGTCATAAAATAAAATATAAAACTAATGTCCAAGAGTTTTTCTACAAGTACAAAAGACTAACCTACAATTACACAGCCATGTGACGCCGCTCTGACAAGATCAAACTCTGCTGCTGCTACTATGGCTTGTGCTACTAATACTACTGCTACTGATACTACTACTGCGATTACTACTACTGCTACTACTATTACTGTAAAGAGTACACACACACAGTGCCACATAGGCTGGATTTGTAGGAGTCGATGCAAGGTACGCTCAGAGCCACGTAGGCATCTGGTGAGGTAGCTCTGTCCAAAGTGAATTTTGACAGCACTTGCCTTCGTCACTATTACAGATGACACAAAAAACTGTAATATGTACTTTTAGATCATCATACTATACATATATTTATCAGACTAATTTTTTGTATGAAAGTGCTTTATACAGTGAAGCGGCGGTTAGAGCTTGTGTTTCACAGCAAGAAGGTCCTGGGGTCAAATCATGGTTTTGAACTGGGCCTTTCTGTGTGGAGTTTGCATGTTCTCCCTGTGTCCATGTAAGTTTCCTCTGGTTGCTCTGGTAATGAGTGATTGCGATGGTGTTGATTGGAGGAAATAAATATACATTATTCCCAGTCTGTGTCTCTGTGTTCAGAAAATTCTACACATGAGAGGTTAAATACATTCTCAGAGTGTATTATTCCCATGAACAGTGTTTTCATGTATCTGTCTTCACCGCGGTAAAGTGGGCCGCATCTTTCACCTCCGAAGTAAAACGGCCCGCATCGAGAGAAAAACAGTGCGCGTTTTGTTGACTACTTACGGTAATAGCGGAACAGCCTTTCGGAGTCACCTTTTCTCCTCGAACAGAAAGCGCGCTGAGGAGACTCATTTTTGTGAATAAACCCATATTTGGAAAGCATTTAATTTGGTCAAATTTTCAGCAGCTGTCCATTTTTACAGTAAAGACTTGTGTGGCTTATTCCACTGGGTTCATGACCTCGATATAGCTGCCTTCAACGCTGTGCCTACGACCACACACCTTTACTGTAGAAATATTGAGAAATATTGATTTAAAGTAGCCATTTTGGTCCAAAATAGCCTAAAAATGGTCAAAACATATCACTTTTGATCTACTGTAACTTTTTACTGTAAAAAGGTGTGCGACTAATTTTACTGGATTCATGACCTCATGATTGCCCTCTACCACTGTACCAAAGACCAGAAACTTTTACTGTAGAAATATTGAGAAATATTGATTTAAAATAGCCATTTTGGTCCAAAATATCTCCAAAATAGTCAAAACATGTCACTTTTGATCTACTGTAACTTTTTACTGTAAAAAGGTGTGCGACTAATTTCACTGGATTCATGACCTCATGATTGCCCTCTACCACTGTACCAAAGACCAGAAACATTTACTGTATAAATATTGATTTAAAGTAGCCATTTTGGTCCAAAATTGCCTAAAAATGGTCAAAACATGTCACTTTTGGTCTACTGTAACTTTTATTGTGGAAATTTTTAGAAATAATTAGTCAAAGTGCCCCCCTTGGTAAAAAAATACACAAAAGGGGCTACGGCCCCTTTTGTCGACAAGCGGAGGTTCGACAAGTCGACAAGCGGAGGCTCTGCTCCGAGCTCCTTCCGTGTGACTGAGCTCCTCAACCTATCTCTAAAGGTGCTTTCAGACCAATAGCTTCAAAACGCTTTTGGTCGGCAAAAGCGGCGGCACGGTGGCTGAGTGGATAGCACTCTCGCCTCTTAGCAAGAAGGTCGTGGGTTCGAATCCCGGTTGGACCAGGGCCTTTCTGAGTGGAGTTTGCATGTTCTCCCCGTGTCTGGGTAGGTTTCCTCCAGGTGCTCCGGTTTCCCCTACCACTAAAAATATGTACAATAGGTCTGGCATGTGCCTCCTGTACTGGCACCCCCACTCAAAAACAATTGTAAACCGCTTTGAGACTCTGATGTGCAGTGAAAAGGCGGTATATAAATAAAGCTTACTTACTACTTACTTACTTTTGACACGCAATATTTGACGCTGGGTCCGTTGTGAACGCCCCTTGGTGCTTGAAGCTCCTGACGCCGGGTGGGAGGAGCTTCTCTCGCTCCCGCCTGGAGCTCGCACTGATTCCCGCGGAGGAGCGCCTGTCTTTCAGTCTGCTGTGTCTGAGCCAGCTTTAGCTTGTTCTTATACTAAATAAATTACTTTAACTTCACAGCATATGTACATTGATTGTGTTACTTACTTTTTAAGAACGTTACTATTCATACAAATAATATTACAAATAACAATAATGACAATGAAAAAGCAGTAGCAGCTACATGACAGCCCTGCTGCTGCTGCTGCTGCTGCTCCTCGTCTCCAGATTGGTTGAAGCCCGGCGTCAAGCTCCAAAAGCTTTTCTCAACTTCGGCGTTAAGGGACTTTTTTACGACAAAAGAGACGCAAGCATTACGCGTGTCAAAAGCTTCAAGTGACGTGCATAATGCTCGCGTCTTTTGAAGCGCTTCAAGTGAAGCCGGGCCTCTCAGCGTCACCTGACGCGCTTCACTATTCATTTTCAGTGCAAAACTGACGCTTTTCAAGTCTAAGTTGAGTCCGGGGTGAAAACACCTTAAGGGAGTGCCCAACCAGTCTTTGCCACCGCTTGTATCTACAATCTCGTTCTTTCGGTCATTATCCAAAGCTCATGACCAGAGGTGATGGAGGTAGCAAGAATTGACCGGTAAATCAAAAGTGGCCGCATCACTGCGCACGCTGCACCAATCCACCTGTCAATCTCACGCTCCATCCTTCCGTCACTCGTGAACAAGACCCCGAGATACTTGAATTCCTCCACGTGAGGAAGGACCTCTCCACTTTGGCGGCACGGTGGCTGAGTGGATAGCACTCTCGCTTCTC